TTTGAAAACTCCAGATTCTCTCAATATGCAAATAAGTTTCATTGCAAACATTTGAAATGCTAAACACAAAATGTTTTCTACTTCGGTGAAAAGTATAATTTCAGTGTTTGTGATGTTGATTCTTCCATGTTGCATATTTATCACGGTTGGTTTCTAACTGTTCATGATGTCCCACGACTACATCAAGAGAAAATCAAAGTCCATCCATCCATCTTCTCCCGCTTATCCGTGGTGGGGTCGCGGGGGTAGCAGTTCCAGCAGAGAGCCCCAAACTTTCTTTTCCCTGGCCACATCAACCAGCTCTGACTGGGGGATCCCAAGGCGCTCCCAGGCAGCGAAGAGATATAATCCCTCCACCTGGTCCTAGGTCTACCCCTTGGTCTCTTCCCAGCTGGACGTGCCTGGAACACCTCCCTAGGGAGGCGCCCAGGTGGCATCCTAACTAGGTGCCCGAACCACCTCAACTGGCTCCTTTCGACGCGAAGGAGGAGCGGCTCAACTCCGAGTCCCTCCCGGATGACCGAACTTCTCACCTTATCCCTAAGGGAGACACCAGCCACCCTGCGGAGAAAACCCATCTCGGCCGCTTGTATCCGCGTAAATCAAAGTGACAAAACAAAATGTTAAAAGGCTCTGCTGCCCTCTAGTGTCTTACTCACACACCTGCAGTGTGAGAGTTCTTCCTCCAACTGTAAAGGATAACTTCTGAAATGACCCAAAGCCTACACCTGCAAAATATCACTGAGAGAGACAAACCCTGAAGAGACTTAACATTACAACAAAGAAGCACAACATGACTACAAATAAATAAACAACTACAAAGAGACACAAAAGGGGCTAAACTACTATAAAGTCATTGTCCTTAGGGGCCTTTTACATGACTCTGCCTCGCTTTGCTTTCAGAGGATTCAAAGTCTGAAACAATTCATATATCTGCTGTGTACAGATCCAGGGCTCAATTCCTGACTTGAATAAACATGACACAGATCAGGTTGACTGTTTGTTGGTTTCTTTTACAATTCAGATGAAGTGTAGCTTTAGACAATCCCATGGGGCGAGTAAATCCAGCGAAGCTTTATACTTCCTGACTCCGTATATGACTGAGCTGACATACACATTTGCAGGAAGCACTTTGTTGTCATTACCTATAGAATACAATAGGAAGACAAATCGGACTGTTATTGCGTGACAAGAGGAACCAGGTTGTAAACAGATACTTTGATGCAGCCGGATGTTGCTTTGAACTCCTCTCCTTCCTGATGTGCGGATAGGAGACAAACAAATACAGAGACCCAATCCACCATGATGAAAGTGCTCCCTGAACACACACTCACAGGACAAAGAGAACAACTGCAAACATGCCATTGCAGACACATTAACAATTTATATTCAATAGTACTGCCCGTCATTCTCAGCCTGTGAATGGCAGCCATTGTAATGACCTTTTATGAATATTGAATGTGCTGTAGACCAACATCAGATTGATGTTCGACAATATGTGAGACACCCGAAACTACCAACACAAGGACACTCTGATGGCTCAACAAAGGACTGTAACAGCCTTGCAGGTGATCTATAGTGCAGCAGATGAACTAGGAGAAAGGTTGAGGGAGTAATAATCATGATTCATTCTCACAACGACTGAGGGAAGCCTCTCAGGCCCGAGGCTGGAACCAAAATCACCCAAACAGCCATCAACCGTTAGCACATTACTGGGCGCTGTGATTTAGTTTTGCAATTCAATACAGTTGAGGGACTAGCAATATAAATGGACTATTTGACATGCACATGCACTGGATCATACAATTCCCATAATCCAACTGTCTTTTGTTGTTGTTTTATATGACTAAGATGACCTGAATGATTATCTTTATTTTCTGCAGCGAGGGGAACCAACAAACTACAGACTGAGTTTGACTGCGATGCAGTCTGGAATCATGTGTTGTTGTGTTCAACATCGCTGCGATAATTGCAGCAAGATGAATTATACACAGAAGTCTACTCCTCTCCAGAACAAACAAACCAGGTGATCATCATCATCATCATCACGGTTTTACCATTGAAAACTATCAATAAACCAGTTTTACTCAAAAAAGCTGTGTTTTCTCTAAGCTAGCTGGCACTTACTCAGCTTGTTTCTCTGAAAACTTAAAATACATTGAAAAGTCTTCATCTGGCAAAAAGAAAGTTAAAATAAAACTAGATCAAAAAGGTATGTGAACAGAATGTGAATCAAAACTGAGTAATTTTAGACGCTGACGCTAACACATGGGCAAAGCAGAGGAGATAGGAAACTTCCTCTCAAGCAGAGAAAACATTTAACACCTTTTTTAAAGGATGAGTATTCCTCCACAGGGCGAGCACATGGTGGTTGAGTGCCATTAAAGATCTGTAATTAACAGAACAAAATAAGTATTTTTTAATAACAAAATTATTGCATTATTTTAGTCTAGAGAATCAAGAGTCAAGCGCAATTTCTGTATATCATCCATTTGTGTTAATGCATCACAAATGGTTACCCACATTGAGAAGAGCTGGAGAGGTCAGATAAACAAAAAATAAGTTATTACTGCCCAATTTTATCTTTAAAATTAAAAAAACATCAGGTTAACAAGAATCCCACAAAACCAAACGCTGGTATACCAAGCAGGTTGACTTTATTTGCATCTTCCATGATAATTAGTTATCATCATTGCAGGAGCGCATCAGTTAACAGTGTTATTGCCTCCAGCTCCATTACCCCCACTGTCATCATCCACTCAAAGGAAATAATTACATTATCTGAAACAGGCCAGTGACAACAACTATACTCTGGTGTGATATTGACAATCTCATTATCAGTTACATATTAATTAGCTTAAATACTGAGGACATTTTTGCTCGACGGTGCTTGAACAGTGCGCCCATTCCTGGCTTCACTGTGTAAGACAATAATGCATTGTACGTGACATTATTGTTCCATAGAGGCTGCATGTACATAACGACTACATTGTGGTTACACTTCATTTGTTTGACAGCTCACAGGTAATCCAGCAGCATTAAATATTTAGCAGGAAAGTAAATGGGCATCCTGAAATGTCATGTGACGTGATCATCTCTGCTGCTGCTTTTACAAGCTCAGACACTACTTGAGGACTTTTAACATGAATATCGTTTTAAAGCTTTATCATCCAATGGTGACTTGACAAACAGTCAGGTGACGCAGCACATATTTAAGCAGGGTGTAACTTCATCAGCCACTGGTTCCCTTTCTCCAATAATCCAAACTGACTCTAATCTGACCCTGATCATAAAATTAGCCTTGATCCAGACACTGAATATCAGTTAATTATACTGACACTAATGTATCACTTAGACATAATGTTATCAGCTGAATAAACAGGCGTCATCGCTGCCATTGTAAAGCATAAGACAACTCATGACACATTGTAAAACTAAATAAAACAAAGTTTGAACACAAAATAAAACTACTTGTGCAATACAGTGTTTGCTCAATCTTGGCTGCTTTTTTTTGTTCTGAGGGAGGCTTGTAAATGCACACAAAATCACGTGTCTGAGGTCACACCCTGAATTCTTTTAACTATAAATAAATTACATTAACTGTCAATGAATCACAGTTTGTAGTGTCCGCATTAGACTAAGCAAAGTCCTTTCTAAAAATCAAAAATGCAGCTGGAGTTCATGTGATCTGGAGTCAAACCAATTCTAAACATGTTTTTTTACAGTGATCGACAAACTCGGTATGACTGGTCTCGTCCCATGAGAGAAACAGTTACAGTATTGACAACAATACATTGGTCATAATTGCTAGAGCATTGTAAATGGTATTCGAGTGATAACAAGAATGACAGCAGAATTGTTGTGCCAACGCAAATCAAAGAAACTTTAAGTGGGCATTGGAGACGGATGTGTACTTTAAAGTGACCTTTTCAAAAAAGAAAATCACAAATCAAACAAGACAGCCAGAGAATGAGCTTGGTGGTTGATAAGCAAATTGCCTTTTTCTAACAGTGTTGTCATTTTTATGACTGAAGCTCCTATTGCTTGTGGTTATAATTTCAGAAAGCTGCTTAGCAACATCAACACATCCAGCCGCAAAGCAGGGATATGGGCGATATCGCTTTGCAACACATTCAGTGACAGTTAAAGGAAAATAAGATCAGTGAATGCACAATCACATACAGCTGCACTGCTCTCTGCACGTTTAAAGGGGCAGTTCACCCCAGAACATTTGAAAAGTTCCTACTCACCTCAAGCTCTGGATTAACATAAGTAACAGGGTCACAATTCTTGGAAGACACATTAGTGTTGTATTTTTCAGATTTATTCTTCTAGTCCCATTAAATTGTAAATCTTTACAGGCGATATTTCTAACACTCTGCAACGCTAATCAAAGAAATGTTTGAAAAACACCACTACAGGTGAGGAACATTTTTTGGGGAGTAAACTGTCCCTTTAACCTTTTAGCCTGCACCTCTGCTCAGTTATGTCATAGTAGTTGCTTTACAAAAACATCACTGTGTGTGTGTGTGTGTGTGTGTGTGCAGAGAGCAGGACATCAGCTGTTTTCTACCCTTAGATTCACTGTTGTTTACCCTCTGAATACAATACATCTCTGCATTGCAACACTTTATAAGGCTTTGCTGCCACCTAGTGGACAGAAACACAACGTATCAGACACATTCTGGGAGGATGTACTGGTGAGCTTTTTTCAGTTTCTCTCCTGAGTAAAACCAGCCTTTTGTCACTGTGTAAATGTTGAATCATCTCCACCTGTACCATCTGCTCGTCTATGTTCATGTGTGTAAGCCTAGGCATTATCTGTTCTAATTGTGTGTTTTGCTTTGGCATGATGGATGTGTGTGAAAGACAGCTTGCACAGGAATGCAGCATAAACTGAAATCCTGAGCGAAAAGTGGGCAACGTCCGACACAAAGGCAACAAAGCAGGACAGCTCCATGCTTTCAGTGTGTGTGTGTGTGTGTGTGTGTGTGTGTGTGTGTGTGTGTGTGTGTGTGTTAGTTAAGACTTTGCATGTGTGTGGCTGTTATGGGTTGATGTTACTCTAGTCTAAAATAAGCTGTTATAATGGCTGCTTTATGGCTGTGGCTAAACATGCAAGCGCGCATGAGTGTGTGTGTAAGACATCATGGGCACAAAGCTCTTGGCACACCTGAAGCGACTGAGGACACACTTTTGACACACTGATAATAAAGCAGTATAAATATCCAGTCGCAACACATTAAATATCAAAACTCCAAGCACCCAACGCATTTTGGAGGCTCAGTAATCAAAGGCTATGGGAAGTACATTGTCTGTTTTACAATAATTAAATAAATAAATAAATAAAAAAACAGCTAATAAATAAAACAATTCTGAAGCTTACAAAGGCATTTGGATTTAAGACATCACTTAATAACCTGAAATAATGTCTAATCAAGTATGCAGATGATATAAAAGCAGCACATTACAGACTGAATTGTATTTTTCTGTTTGTCAGTTTTAGTGGCAAAGTATTAGGATAGTTAGGATGTTAAATTGAAGCTCACTACATGTGATTTCCAGTTTAAGTGGCTATACGTAGGAACTGAAATACACACGCATAAACAGAGTGAATGAATGTGTGGAAGCAACTCTATCAAATTAACAGAAGTGTGGTTCAATGCTTTTTAGTGCTTCTTTTTGTTCAGGGACATTTATGGAGATGTTTTTATCCACAAGTCAAGAGACTGAGATAATAATATATAGCTGTAAAAATAATTGTCTTTTAATCTCACATTTTCTTCTTTTTAGCGGCTGCTTAAGCAAGTCATTTTCCAGTTGTCCAGTCACAAAGAAACATCCTGGTTGCTGTTTATTTGATGTCCAGTAATTATTCTGTCCATGTGCCTCCTGGTGCCCACTCCAGATTGAGGTCCCCGAAAGTTACGGAAGATCCAGAGTCTGTGTGTGAATGTGTGTCAGAGTGTGTGTCCCGTACAGCAAACCAGGCCGTGCTCTACTTTATCCTTCCGGAAAGTTTCATTGAAAGAACGTTTCCTGCCGTCTCTGCTGAATCCAGGTTGGGTGTAAGGATCCATATTTATGAAGCGTCTGAAGCATTGCTCTTTTTCAGGAAACTCCTCATGTAGGATATTTTTTTCAAACTTTCATTCTTTAAGTGTGCTTTTTCGAGAACGAGGGAGACCTTCCATCATCACAGAGTGGCTGCGGAACCCCAGGGAATGGTAAGAAATGTCCAGCTAACAAGTTGAAATGCTTCTTGCTAATGCAGCAGGTTTAGTATGCTTTGTAAAATCACTGCACTGATGGTGGTGTTGTCTGTGCCAATTGTCTCCCTGCCTGAAAACAGAGTTAAACCCTATGGATTATCTACATGAGTCTGAAATATCTACATTTCACTTTTTTGTTCACTGCTTTTTGCAATGGCAGAAAGATTTGCTACATAGCCGTTAGTAGCTACTGCACGATAGCTGTCATTAAGTTACATGCATCTCTATGCCGGCTAAACATTTTATAGTGAGAGCACTGTTACTTATTTGAAGGTGATTCTTCAAGAGGAGGAGGAAGCAGCATGGCACAATGTGGCCAAAGGGCCGTCTACACCGAGAAAGATAACCATAAAGATAACTGTAAATATAAAACTATGATGAAAGTGGCAACAAATATATTTTGGATCACTTTAAGAGCGATTTGATGAAGGATTAAACACTAACAGCCAGTTAAAATCCATCCGTAAATGAAGTGTATTTGTCACATACAGGACGGGGATTAGTAAAAGGGAATATTAGGACTTATTTGTATCCGTAATTCAATGTTCTTATTACAGAATCTATGTCCCTCTCTTCACTTCCACAGTGTTGACAGATGCAAATCACTAGCTATTTTTAAACTTCTCTAATATTATTATTCGTGTCCTTTTCGCTCTCTATGCAACAATACCCCTTGTGGGGCTCCAACACGTTATTTTGGATGTGTGGACGCTCACAGCGTTTATAGTTTTAGTCATGTTTCTCGGTGTGGACGGCCCTTTACTCGATCAAAGGGCCGGGCTTTAAGGATTTCTTTGTTGGATTTATTACACTATTGTTATCAGCAATGTTAACGTCTGCACAAAGCGATTCGACCTCGGAATTATTCTTGTCTGTTTTTTATTTTAGGAGTATACCAGCTGAGCTCATGTTTGACTTCCCATGCGGTCCAAAATGATGGACATAAATGAGACTAAGAGGTGATTTATCATGCGTAAACACATACAGTACTGTGTTATATAGTACCTTGTTATTTTAGGAAGGTTATTGTCATTTTTTCTCATTTTACGCAAGCCTATCTTTGGCTACAACTGTTTAAAACTAGAGCACAACTATACAGGCATAACTGGTGGAAAACCCCACCCTGTGTTAGCAACCTGTCAGTATCTTAACATTTTTGTTTATTCTGTCTCTTCGACAATATTCAGACATGGGGAGAGGTTTTAAAAAAACTTTATCTAAAGTGTGATATATCTGCTTAATAAAATCTGATGGTGGAGGAGGAATCCTCGCCGAGAGGAGGCGTGATTTGTGGAGTGAGCGAAGAGGAAATGTGATCTGAGGAGCAGGAGAGGTGCAGCACTTTACAGAAGAAGGAGTGGTGATGGCAGAGAAGTAGAGGAGGGAGAAGGAGGTAGTGAATCAACTACGGTACAACACCCTTTCACTTGAATGAAAACACAATAGGCTAATTTCGAGAAGAGATGTTGCCCCTAATGATTCGTGTTTCAAAAAAGCAATAGATGTGTTGCTCACAATGTCACCTATCTTTTGGCATGTTTGGAGGTGAGGGAGGAGAAGAGCAGAGAAAATGGAGGGAGGACAGAAGATGGAAGGAGAGGAAGCCATCTCTCCTCTTCGTATGGAGTTTTTTCTATCAGCTCCATATTGGTAATGGATAGAGTGGTGCGGAAGCTAATGGTGAGGTGAGGCATGAAGAGGAGGGAGGAAATCAATACTTCTCCAATCTTATTATAATGTTACAGTTGCTCGACAGATGCTGTGTGATGTTGTAAAGTGAATCTGGGTCTTCTTCTGGGGGGGACTGTTTGAATACTATTTGATTTCCTGATCAGATTCCAGATCAGGGTTGCTGCTCCTTCTTTTTTTGTTTCTCTCCTCCTCTTGAGGTGATCTTTCAATTCATGATTTGATTAATCTGGTCTGACATGGTCTGTTTGCATTTGACTATTCCTCTCCGCCTATTGTTGTTAGAATGTTATACTCCTCCCTTGCCATTTTCTATTACCTTACCAAAAGCGCATCATTGTTTCTCTCCTACTTCCTCACATTGAATTAGTAAACCCTTTGTAATGTCCTCTGACATATTTAGTTCTTGTATAGATACATCTGGAAGTATACATTCCTCTCGTTCTCAATATCTTAGTGTAAAGTCTACAGTTTAAATATTTGGCTTCACTCATATTCTGATGCTGTGTTCACACCATATACGTAGATGAATTTAACATTGTGTCAGTCACGTGAATTACTCACAACATTAATATAAGAACAGTTAATCCTTTGTTAGGTCTGTACGCAAAAGGACAAGCAAACAACTTTCAAAATGCTTTTTTGCTTGAATGGAGTTTGGATTGATGAGGGCAATGCTAACACTAGCTGTTCCATCCTCACTAAGGCATACATATGTCTGTACACATGGATTTTGACATACTGTTAAAAGTTAAAATGGTATTACCTCACCATCATTTAAGATGTTTATTAGAATCTTAACACTTACAGGCTTTTCACCTGAGAACATTAGGTGTGAACACAGCATCAGACTTTATATTATTTTGCGGTCAGCTATCATCTCATCTGAACTAGTGCGTTCCGGTCTTTTACTGTATGCACTGCTCCCTGTAACAGTCATGTTCTACCGTACACCTTCCCATCTCCCCTTGTTTCATTGGTTATTCTGTTTCACACAGCTGCTCTTACCTCTGTAATGCATTGTTCTTACTTAATCATTTCTTCTTCCTGTAGTTCTTTCAACCTCATTCTGTCCTCATCTTATTGCCGTCACTCTCTGATCCACTCTTTGTGTTCAGCGCGTTCTTTCATCTCCCTCGGCCTCTGCCCAGACTCTCTTGCTGTTAATGTGAAATCTGTTGTTTGTTTTTTAATCGTCACATGTCGTCTCCACCGTGGCAGCTCTCCTCTCCATGTATGATGAGGACGGGAAAGAAGAACGCGTCCTGATAGGATGGAGGACGCTCCCTCCCTCCCCCTTCGCTCTCCCTCCCCTCCCCTGTTCCTGCACTGTCTGGCTCTGCGTCTTCGTCTCTCTCTCCTCTTCCCTGATCCCGTCTCATCACCACCGCTGCTGCTGCTTCCTCCTCCTGCTGCTGCTCTTCCTCCTCCTCCTCTTCATCCCCTTCTCCTTCCAGCACTCCTCTGGTCTCCTCGTTGTCCTGCCTTGAACCCAAACCAAGGAATCCTCCTCCTCCCCCACTGCTTCCTCCCCCTCCTCCTCCACTCCCTCCTCCTCCACTCCCTGCTCCATCCTCTCTGCTCCCTCCCAGCCCTCCTCCCATGCTTCTTGAATGAAACAGGCTGTTCGGGCGACCTGCTGCCAGTCTCCCCAGAGAGAATCCGCTCCGACTGAGCACCAACCGTCCCCCGATACCTCCTCCACCCCCCTGCCCCGCTGCCCTGATGCCTGCCACGGTAGCGTTCAGGAGCGCTGTGTTTCCCATGGGGGCCCGCAGCCTGGAGGGCAGGCTGGAGCTGGACGTGGTCCTCCGGCAGCGGGGGCAGCTCTGGAGGAGGTAGGCCGAGTTGAAGACAACGGGCAGAGCGAGAGGAGGCGGGTTGGGCCCCGTGCTCGGGGTGGAGCTTGCGGCCCCAGAGATGGGCGTAGAGGCGGTGGGGTTTGTCCCCCCGCTCATTTCCAAGTCCATCAGCAGGGCTTCAGAGTAGCTCGGCACCATCTGTTGGTTACAGCGGATGTGCCACTCCAGCTCCGTCATGTCCACCGTGTTGACCCGAGAGATGGCTCTGTAACTCGTCCCGTTGATTCCAGGATGGAGTCCATTCTCAGTCCCTCCTTCAACCCCATCCCCTCTTCCTCCCCCACCTGGCCCTCCTACACCCCCACCTCCTCCGCCACCATCCTCGTCCTCACCAAACAGCTTCTCCACGTGGTAGTGGACGTACGCCGTGCGATATTCTGACACCACGCGCAGCGGCCAGGACATCAGGAAAGCAGAGGCCAGCCAGAAGACTTTGTGCCGGGAGAACCAGGGCTGCCGGGTCGGGTCAGGGAACGCCAGGATGTGCTCACGGAAATCCACGTTCTTCAGGTGCATCCCCTCCCTGGCCTCCATGTAGTCGTCGAGTCCCTCGTTCTCCCCGAAGAAGCGAGCTCGCTTTGAATAACAGAAAGAGGATGTGCTAGAATTAGAATTCATTAACAGAGCATTATCTCCAAAGCTCAGGAGAATATCTTTAACCTACTACTGTATTATTTTGTGGTAGTTTATGTTTAAAGCTAAAAATATTTTCACAACTATCACATCCATTATGTTTCATTACCCAACAGTGTGAAGGCCAGACCTGGACTTCACAATACTTGGATCAACTTCTTAACTGCACCTACTCCCTCATCAAGTGTTCATAAAAAATGTGAAACATTATTAAGCTGGCTAGCTACAGCTGAATCTGCCAGCAACAGTTGTAATGACAGATTTAAGTCAATAGTTGCTGGCTAGAAATAAGAAGCCTGCTTTTCTCTATCTCTGTCCAAAATCAAGAGATGATTGTTTCAAAGAAAGACATTTGAGTGGTAAATCTGCCATTGTTGTCGCAGGTGAGTGGAAATCCTAAGAATGAAGCAAACAATTGAAAGATAACACTTTGTGCTCTGGAAACTAGGGTTGACCTTATTCTATCACATTTTATAGATAAGACATTCATTTAGTTACATTGATAGAGCAGAAAATAAATAAATAAATATACTAAATATGTTAATTCTTTATATCTTGTCTTACCTGGGTGAGGTAGGCAGCTTCAGCACGTGCACTGGAGAAGCTAAATAGCACAAAGATTTGTTAAAAACGTTCTTAGCCCCCCGAAAATAAGGATGTGTGCACAATGAATGGGGGAAGGTACATAACAGCAGGGACAAGTGGATTTTAAGAACAAAAGAAAACAACCCCCTACGTATGGCTGTTTCATAAAGGGAAATAATAATAAAAAACGATACCAAACACCCATCTAATTCCAGTCTGACCTGAAACACTTGGTGAAGCGGAGACGGACCGCAGGGTGCAGCTGCAGGTCCAGCAGCTCCTTTGACACGTCTTTGACTCCGTAGCGGCCGTAGTCAAACTCTGAGCTGGAGGCGTGAGTGTTCACCCGCTCATGGTACACCTGGGGGGGGGGGGGGCAAAGTATGATGCATGCAACAGGGATGCAATATTTCACTAGGAGAAATTAAGATTTGCATATCAGTTGTTTTAAAAGATTAAAAGAGTATATTTACGTGAAGCTCCCCTCACCTGTGTGGTGGTGTAAGCGTCTCCGTTGCGGTACCTGGTCACCTGTCGGGTCCTCCTGACGTAGTGATAGCTGATGGCCTTCCACCAGATGCAGGGTGTGGCCTGCTGGAGCCTCTGCACACGCTCGTACACCTCCTGTGTTAGAGAATTCATTCAAGACACATTCAAATGTATGTTCCTACATTGACTTTATATGGTCAAATTTGAGGGTACATAAAAATGCCCTTCTGCTCCCTTATGAGAGAATAAATAAATAACACAATTAGGGCTCGAAGATTACATGAAAGAGATAGTTCAAGTTATTATATAACAAACAAAAGACATCAGCATTTCCTCGAGACAGTGTTCTTTTTTTAGGACTGGATTCAAGTTATTTTGAGATATATTTGATTTCAATTCAATTCCTTCTGTTGAAAACGAGGACAAACTATTTAAGATGCGACATTGCCTGAGCAGTTCTTGCAAGCAGAACAATTAGGTTCGTCTTATTTGCATAGATTTGAGTTAAATCTGGTGCAAGTCAGGCTCTGCCAGGTTTTGTTTATGTTTTGTTTTTTTTAAATCTCTACGCAGATCAATTAATCATAAGATCTGTGCCCCTGAAAGTCTGTAAAAAAACATGCTGTTTTTGGCAGTAGCACATATCTAAGATGAACAGTAACCAATGTGCTCCTGATAAAAGGCAGAGCAGACAAGGATAGATGAAAGAGAGACTGATGCCTCTGGGTCTGCTCAGTTCCATATAAATGGGCAAAGACTATTTTAGGAAAGAAATTGAAAGTGTTCTCTCCTCTTGAAATGTTAAAATTCCTGACTGAACTGCAGGAAATGAAGCCCTTATTTATCTTGATCAGCAACTGTCTCAGCAGACATTAACACATCACCATCCATTTATGTATACAAGCTCTTTATTTAAAGGCTTTTGCTGACACTATCAGTTTCAATGAGTAAACAGATTCTGCTGCTTAGCTCAAGGTCACAGAGCTATTCCTAGACTGCAGCAGTGAAGTCCACACTCAGCTGGGTGCTGAACGACTGATTGAAATGTAATGGAAATGTCAATACAGCCACCTAGTAATTTTGTATTCAATCAAATCAAGAGATAGAATTTTTTTTTTTAAGGGAGTTTATGTGTCTATACACCATTATAAAGTGTTGTAATCCTAAAGAAATGTCTAGAGACTTGGGTAAACATTTTTTTTTTTTTTCAATGGATAGGAGAATAATAATGTCACCCTCTAACACAGGGGTGGCCAACCAGTCAGAGGTTAAGAGCCACATTTTTTCTATGTTACTGCAAAGAGCCACATCAAACACACAGTCACTGATAACGCTTGTTTCAGTTTTTTGTTTTCTGGAGACAAGATTTCAACCACGTCACTGATGCATCTTTGTGGCATTGGGATATATATTTTTTAAATCCTCTGGAGCAGAGAGAGGAGCTGTGGATTATTGTTATTGATTATTGCATCAGTGTTTCTTAGGGTCAAAAACACTAAACTCACAACTTAAAATGAAAGCGTTTAGTTTATTTAATAAAAGAGCACATGTTCAATGTGAAAAGTGACAGTAGTTATAGATTATTTGCAATTTGGTGCTATATATATATTTAAAAAATATATATTATATATATTTTTGAAACACCTTGAATTTCAGGGGGGGGGCGCGGGGCTCCGTTGGCGGGGCGCAGCGCCCCTCCAACACAATGGTAGGGGAAACACTGGATCAGGGGTGGCCAACCCGCGGCTCTCGAGCCGCATGCGGCTCTTTGCCTAGTTTCATGCGGCTCTTCAGTTCATATCGAATTGTATATGTGTGAGTTTGGGGGAGAGACATTGACTCCTGACTAGTGTTGCACGGTGTACCGATACTTGAAAGGTACCGCGATACCCTGCCGTTAAAAACGTTACGATTCCGCCGTTTCATTAGTATCGGTACTTTAAGAATGACGGGGAAAAGTACTCCGGTGAGAAAGCGACGTTTTAATAAGAGCCGTGTGTGTTCAGCGCTCTGCTTCCACTCCCTGCACTGCAGCCTTGCCTGCAGTCCCTCCCTTTCAAGCACGCTCTAAGTCCCTCCCCTCTCAAGCACGCTCTAAGTCCCTCCCCTCTCAAGCACGCTCTAAGTGCCTCCCCTCTCTCGTGCACGCGCTAGCTGCCAGAGCATGTGAGAAAACGAGAAGCATGGCTGCAAGTGGGAGTGCAGCTGCCGCTGCGCCTCGGCTTGTTGACAAAAAAGACGCCAGAAGCGAAATTTGGAAGTATTTGAGCTATATCTCTGACAGTGAGGGCAAGCCTACGGACACCACGAGGCCTGTCTGTGAGACATGTATTAATTTTATTTAATACGAATTCTTGTCATTTATTTTATTTATTGTTCTCATTGTTTAAAAGTTTGTGTTATGGTTATGGTTCTGGTGTGAAATAAAGCACAATAATTACATTTAAGACTGTTTCCCTTTTTTTAAGAAAAGTATCAAAAAAGAATCGGAATCGCAATTCTTGACTTGGTATCGAAACCAAAATGTTGGTACCGTGACAACACTAGCTACTCCTGACAGTTAAACCTGATATTTAGTAGGTCTGTTAAGTATTGAATGCTGATAATTCTGACGTAATTTGGCCGGTCAAAGTTGTTTGGGCTCGGATAAAATCGCTCCGTTACTTTCGTCCCGTGTTACTTTCGTCCCGGCTCTCCCTATGTGTGTATGTGTGGTGTCAGGTGTCAGTATGAGCAGTGCTTGAATTGGAATGAAAAAGGTGCCAGTACTCTAAAATCAGCAACTTTTTCAAGTCAATTTTATATATACAGCCCACAAACAAGAATTTGGCTACTATAATGCTGGTGGGTTTGTCTCTTTACTACTGTATATTTTAGAAAGGTTCACTGTACTTAACATTTTTTATGATAGGCAGCGGATATGGCTAAAGCTCAGTAAGGTCAATATTAACTGAAAATATAGCAATCAAAGTCTAGATCTTCTGCTGAAGACACATGAAGCAGAGACCTTTCAGGTGAGAGCCCCTCTGGTGGTGTTCAACATTAATTACAAGGAAACAAAGCTCTGGTCAGAAGCATTTTTTATAAAAAGCTTTAACAAAATTAAGTATTTCTGTACATTTTGAATGCAATCTAACTTTCCAACTCAGAAAACGAAAAACGAAAAAGTGCCAAAAGTCTTCTCACATGGCTGAGCTGCTTTGCAATATACTTCACCACTGAAGAATACAAATATGTATAAAGTAAACTATGATGCAATCTAACTTTCCAACTCAGAAAAATGATAAAGAGCATGAACAAAGAACATGTAAAAACAAATACAAAATTTGCACAATCTAAAATGAGAAACTGTAACTGCAAGTAACAAAGTCTGAGCCATGGTAAAGAGTTACATTGAACACCAAGCTGATCAGATAACTCCCTGGTTGGTCTGAAGTCCTTCTATCTCCAGGATCTGTACAAATCGGCACATTATGCCAAAAGTCTTCTCACTGGGTGAGCTGCTTTGCAATATACTTCACATTGTTAGAAAAGGCTCCAGAAGGCCTTGGGGACATCAGTATCAGGGGCTGGAGCTGGACAGGCTCTTTCATCAGCACTTCTCCTTCCCTTTGCCAGCCAGGACCTCACATACTGTTCCGGATTGAACTGTCCTAGTGATGGTCCATTACATTTAATGAAAACCAGGCTGGACAGTCGGCTGACAGAGAGAGCATTCCTTTTTGCAGTAAGGATATCGTTCATGCAGCTGAATGCCCGCTCACACTCACTAGTGGAGACAACGATGGTTCGGACTGCTTTCAGTAGAGGCTCCATGGCAGCAGGTGTACGGGATGCCCTGGTTTCCTTGTATTCGCGAAAGCCCTGAACAGTCTCTCTTCTGTCCACTTTCAGCACTTCACACAAACGTAGCACCTCTACGTCCCCATACTGTACGTCTAACTCCTCTTCAGGCCAACTTCCAGGATGGATAACTTTCATGTCCTGGATTAGCTGATTGTCCCGGGCCTCCCGGCCATGTAATGGGATTTCTCTTGTGCTGACATGAGAGGAGGTTGTGGAAGTCATTCTGTGTCTCAGATTCTCTACCATACTGCGGAAAAACTGACCTGCATGAATCTGTACAAGCCTGCCATTCTCACGCAGGGCAACACCCTTGAAGGACTTCTCAGCTAGAGCTGTATGAACTGTAGTCATGTGTGGGCCAGGCATGGTGACCATGGATTCAAAAACTCGTATTTCTCGAGTTAAGAGCCTATCTGCTGTAGGCAGTGTCATCTCTCTTTTTTGGAGTTGCCGAGAGAGGTCGCTGAGCTCTGTGAGCGCATCGTACATCAGTCCCAGATTGCTGACAAACGTTGCAGATGTGAGCACATCATCCAGGCCCTTGTACTTTGCTCTGTCTCTGGAATCCCTGCTCGTGTCGTTTGCAGCATTTGTGAAGTGATCATGAAGCACTCGGTAGTTTTCCCAGACTGCTCTGACGCTCCTTTCACTTGAAGCCACCCAGCGGATGGACAAAACACGCCCTATCACCAGGAGACGCTGTCCGACTGCTTGCGCACACTGCGCTAACTGCCTCTGATTTTTGGGGGAGGCTTGGAACAAGGAATAGAGTTTGTCAAAAAAGATCTGGAAATGATTGAGCCCTGAGACCTCCTTGACCACATCCCCAATTGCCAGCTCTAGACGATGATTGGAGCAGTGCCACACAAACAGGCTTGGGAATTTACTACACAACTGGGTAGCAACGCCTGTTCTCTTCCCTAGCATGACTGAAGCCCCATCACATGCAAAAGAAACGAAACACTGACCTAAAAAGTCCTCGTTAAAAATCTCTTCCAAGACACTCCATTAACGCCTTTGTGATGTCATCAGCCGTTGTTCCATCCAACTCGATCAGCTCCCAAAAAAACGTTTCGGGCTCAGCATCAGCTAATGCTGAGCGTAGACACACAACAAGCACCGTTTTACCACTAATAGTGGTAGATTCATCGACCAAAACACAGAGTTTTCTTTGGTTTTCTGTAATGTCTTTTGCCATTTTTTTCTTCAGCTCATGAGCTATGTGGTCGATGATTTCGCCACAGGTTTTATTGGAGTGCAAAACCCTGCCCACGTTCAGCCCATTCAGTTTCTGTACATTCAAATCAATTGGCATGTCTGTGAATGGCCGGCTATGTTTGCCAATTTTATATGCCGTTCGAAAAACTCTGATAGTGGTGTCTAATTCAGATTTATGCATAGACTGCACTTGATGTTGAATAGTTTCACGTGAAGCAGATGTAAGCATGTCAGCAGCTTTTACATGGGCTTGTGATTATTTATGTTCTTTGATTTGTTTTCTCAGGCTAGCTTGTTGTTTGCCCTTGTCAACACCGAAATGAGACACTGCACACTCACCCCATTCAGTTGACAGTTTCAGTCCTTGTCCAGTGTGTATTCCCAAAGATTTGACATCTCTGCATATCCGACATCCTAGCTTCTTATCTTTAAGAAGGAGCCATGCATTGGTCTTGCAAAAATATTGCACCTGGTCCGTTGTCCAGCAGTCAGGTGCATCGCTTTGCCCGGTGTTGGTGGTGGCAGTTGCGCCAGCAGCAGCTAACGTTAGAGGCTCTGGAGGAGGCGGCGGAGCTAGTGCTAATGCTAATGCACTAGAACTTGGAGCAGGAGGATCAACCAAAGAAAGCTCCCCATCAGACACAATTTCCAACACAGGCACAGCATTCTCTGTATTTGAAGTTTCTTCCGGCGACAACCGCTGTCTTTTTGCACTTTTATTAATCCACGCTAACATTTTAGAAATGCTAATTTGTGACGTGACTTGCTTTCCTTCTCTCGGGGGCGTGCCTGCTCTGTTCTATCACTCTACATAGCCACCCACTGGGTGGGAGTTGCACTGCATAAACACAACACACGTGCATCTAGGTATGTAAATTGTAAAGCATTAAAACATGGTTTTACTAACAGTTTTCAGTATGTTGTTACTACTTCGGCATTATTATTATTATTATTATTTTGAAACGTGTATTACTATTAAATCACGGTCAAATAGGTTAATTTTGACATAGTCGTTTCCACCACAGTATTTACATGGAGAAGATAAGCCCCGCCCCCTCTCCAGCACGTTCTGTTTGAATGACAGGAGTAAACAGCTGACAGCCGCTGTGAAACTCCAGCGGTTAGAGCGATGAGAATGTCCGTTCGGCACCTCATGACGCATCTACTGAGTACCGGGCGGCTGTATATATATATATGGATGTATAATAAGAACGGCGGGAGAGTGTTGAGTACTGGCACGGTGCATGAGTACCGGAGTACCGCCAGCATGCCGGTACTGAGCAAGAAGTGCCGGTACTCCATGGGTCAGAACCAGAAGTGCCGGTACTGCGTACCGGTGAGTACCGGACAGCGCGTCTAATTTTGATGTGACCCAAGAGCCAATCACAATAATACCTGCGATGCAGTGAACCAATCACCTTTGAGGGGGGGAAAACCTATCGTTGATTAAACACTATCCAGTGTTTCCCCCTACCATTGTGTTGGAGGGGCGCTGCGCCCCGCCAACGGAGCCCCGCGCCCCCCCCCTGAAATTCAAGGTGTTTCAAAAATATATATAATATATATTTTTTAAATATATATATAGCACCAAATTGCAAATAATCTATAACTACTGTCACTTTTCACATTGAACATGTGCTCTTTATTAAATAAACTAAACGCTTTCATTTTAAGTTGTGAGTTTAGTGTTTTTGACCCTAAGAAACACTGATGCAATAATCAATAACAATAATCCACAGCTCCTCTCTCTGCTCCAGAGGATTTAAAAAATATATATCCCAATGCCACAAAGATGCATCAGTGACGTGGTTGAAATCTTGTCTCCAGAAAACAAAAAACTGAAACAAGCGTTATCAGTGACTGTGTGTTTGATGTGGCTCTTTGCAGTAACATAGAAAAAATGTGGCTCTTAACCTCTGACTGGTTGGCCACCCCTGCACTGGATAGTGTTTAATCAACGATAGGTTTTCCCCCCCTCAAAGGTGATTGGTTCACTGCATCGCAGGTATTATTGTGATTGGCTCTTGGGTCACATCAAAATTAGACGCGCTGTCATCCTCTCATACTGACACCTGACACCACACATACACACATAGGGAGAGCCGGGACGAAAGTAACACGGGACGAAAGTAACGGAGCGATTTTATCCGAGCCCAAAACAACTTTGACCGGCCAAATTACGTCAGAATTATCAGCATTCAATACTTAACAGACCTACTAAATATCAGGTTTAACTGTCAGGAGTAGCTAGTGTTGTCACGGTACCAACATTTTGGTTTCGATACCAAGTCAAGAATTGCGATTCCGATTCTTTTTTGATACTTTTCTTAAAAAAAGGGAAACAGTCTTAAATGTAATTATTGTGCTTTATTTCACACCAGAACCATAACCATAACACAAACTTTTAAACAATGAGAACAATAAATAAAATAAATGACAAGAATTCGTATTAAATAAAATTAATACATGTCTCACAGACAGGCCTCGTGGTGTCCGTAGGCTTGCCCTCACTGTCAGAGATATCGCTCAAATACTTCCAAATTTCGCTTCTGGCGTCTTTTTTGTCAACAAGCCGAGGCGCAGCGGCAGCTGCACTCCCACTTGCAGCCATGCTTCTCGTTTTCTCACATGCTCTGGCAGCTAGCGCGTGCACGAGAGAGGGGAGGCACTTAGAGCGTGCTTGAGAGGGGAGGGACTTAGAGCGTGCTTGAGAGGGGAGGGACTTAGAGCGTGCTTGAGAGGGAGGGACTGCAGGCAAGGCTGCAGTGCAGGGAGTGGAAGCAGAGCGCTGAACACACACGGCTCTTATTAAAACGGCGCTTTCTCACCGGAGTACTTTTCCCCGTCATTCTTAAAGTACCGATACTAATGAAACGGCGGAATCGTAACGTTTTTAACGGCAGGGTATCGCGGTACCTTTCAAGTATCGGTACACCGTGCAACACTAGTCAGGAGTCAATGTCTCTCCCCCAAACTCACACATATACAATTCGATATGAACTGAAGAGCCGCATGAAACTAGGCAAAGAGCCGCATGCGGCTCGAGAGCCGCGGGTTGGCCACCCCTGCTCTAACATCATTTCAGAATTTCCAATATCAGACAAATAATGACATTTAGATATGTTACCGAAATCTTCCAACATTTCTGTAAGCTATGAGGCCCTCTTGTTCAATGTAAAGGTCTCCTATTATGCTATTTTTAGGCATATATTATGGGTCTCGGGTATATCAAAATATATAAAAAACATGTCTGATATGTTTTGCTCAAAATGCCAAACAGATCATCCATTTTAGACATCCCTCATATCCCTCTATTTAATCCCTGTTAGAGAACTTGAAACAGTATGTAGCTCAAATGCTTTCTCTCTTGCGGGTTTATCACAAGGTGAGTTCCTTTTTTTATTTCCTGCTTTTTTTACACATACTCTCTCCAGTACAGGTTAGCTCTGAGTGTTAGCAATGCTTGCTAATGTAATCAAAGACCATATTACGTCCAAAACATGTCAGGCATTGTTTCTGATAGTGCCGTGGGTCCACATCATATTGGACTCAAATCTGGATCAGCTCCGTTGTACCCCTTTTTATGTATAAAAGACATCAAAAAGTGCATTTTGCATTATAGGCCCCCTTTAATGCTTTTACTGTTTTATCCCACAGACCTGGAATTCGGCATTAGCCAACATTGCCGTCTTGGAGAAGCAGTGCCAGCACTCCACCAGGTAAACCACGTAGAGCATCGCCAAGAAGGCCAGCGGGATGTAGACGTAGCCGCTGGAGCACGGGCTCTCCAGGTGCAGGATGTCGTTGTAGTAGGCGGCCGAGGTGGCGTCGTCATCAGAACCCAGAGGACCGGAGGAGGAGCCGAGGACGGGGACGCGACACAGAGCGCACCAGGCCAGCGTGGCGAAGCAGCCATACATGAGGAGGGTCAGGAGGAGGCACTTCCAGTGAGACTCCCGGCACAGGGAGGAACCAAAGGACTGCTGCACCGGACGCTGCTGGGGAGGGACAAAGAGAGGGGGGATAGGCGTTAAGATGCTATCAAACACACAATTAATTTAAACCATTGAGAACAGGTCAATTCTCCAATGCTCAAAGTTTGGAGGACATTGAAAATAATATTTCTTGCTGTACAAGTCTTTTGGTTTTCTTTTTTGTATGAAAGTAGGGCTGCACAATTAATCACAATCTTATCGAACATCACAATATGGACTGGTACAAAATGCAAATCGCAGTAAACCCATTTGTTGGATAAGGCAAAATATGAGAAAATATCTGAAGGTCTCTATAGTGGTGCTGCCAGTCGCCAACAAACAGTCATTTGCAGACTTCATAATAAATACTTATGTTGAATGTTTTTGTCAACCCTCTCATATTGTGAATCATATCAGAATAGCAATATCAGTCAAAAATAATTGCAATTAGGTATTTTCTTTCAATTGTCCCCCCCTGTATAAATCGTGCTATATAATTAAATAAAGCTGTCATTGTAAGCATGTTACCATGTGGATTTTAACATTGAGCTCATTTTGAGCCCTAACCAGTTTCCCATGCTTGTTGAATGACTGGAGCAGGTTATTAATATTACTTTAAATATCCATCCAATTAGAGTTCAGTTTTAAGCTCCTAATGCCATGATTAATAATCATTTACAGGCAATCCTTTTGTTCCTATCCTAAAGCCATGTGTCACACATATGGTACGCTGTTTTAACACTAAAGTTAGCCATGAACCAGTCTGAGGTGTGCCACTAGATTTGACACATTTCTACCTTCTCACGTTGACGAGATTTTTATGAATAATACAGTGTGCCTCACATTGTTAATATTTAAGACGGCATGCCAGGAGGAAATTATTTCAAGAAATGCATATGTTTGGCATGGAAACAACATATTATTGGTAAACCTGGAGGGAGTTTTTAACACCCGTCATTTCCCATTTGTAAAACCGGTTGGGTTTCAGAGCAAGTGAGGTTCTGAACAAGTGAGTGCATTAAAGCACAAACCCTTACCCATCATAGGATAAGTGCGCCACACACACTTTATGTCTCTCTCACACAGCCTCATTTGAACTGAAGACATTATATTACAGTGCACTCAAAACATACACACACACATTAGATACACAGCTGGACACACACACATGCATTAGATACACAGCTGGACACACACACATGCATTAGATACACAGCTGGACACACACACACACACAAGTGTAAGTGAATAATTTAGATGAGAAAATAGATAAAAAGATACTTCTAGACTCTTCTGAACTGACTGCACTCCAACATCAGCAGCGAAACACGAATGTGTGAGAGAGTGAGAGAGGGAGAGAGTGAGAGAGTGAGAGAGTGAGAGAGGGAGAGAGTGAGAGAGTGAGAGAGGGAGAGAGTGAGAGAGTGAGAGAGAGAGAGAGGGAGAGAGTGAGAGAGGGAGAGAGGGGAGAGAGTGAGAGAGGGAGAGAGGAGAGGGGAGAGAGGAGAGGTGAGAGAGAGAGAGAGAGAGAGAGAGGGAGAGAGAGGAGTGAGGAGAGAGGAGGAGGAGAGGAGAGGGGAGAGAGTGAGAGAGGGAGAGAGTGGAGAGGGAGGAGGAGAGAGGAGAGAGGGAAGGAGGAGAGAGTGAGAGAGGGAGAGAGAGAGAGGGGGAGAGAGAGGTGAGAGAGGGAGAGAGAGAGTGAGTGAGAGGTGAGTGGAGAAGGGAGAGAGGGAGAGAGGGAAAGGGAGAGAGTGAGAAGGAGAGAGGGAGAGAGTGAGAGAGGGAGAGAGGGAGAGAGGGAGAGAGGGAGAGAGGGAGAGAGGGAGAGAGGAGAGAGGGAGAGAGAGAGGAGAGAGAGGGAGAGAGGGAGAGAAGTAGAGAGAGGGAGGGAAGAGAGTGAGAGAGTGAGAGAGGGAGCGAGTGAGAGAGTGAGAGAGGAGAGAGGGAGAGAGTGGAGAGAGGGAGAGAGTTGAGAGAGGGAGAGAGTGCTTCGAGAGAGTTAGGAGAGTGAGAGAGGGAGAGAGTGAGAGGCGGGAGATGAGGGAGAGAGTGAGAGAGGATAGAGTTGAGAGAGGGAGAGAGTGAGAGAGTGAGAGAGGGAGAGAGTGAGAGAGGGAGAGAGGAGAGAGAGAGTGAGAGAGTGAGAGAGAGAGAGAGTGAGAGAGTGAGGAGGGGAGAGAGAGAGGGAGAGAGAGTGAGAGAGAGAGAGTGAGAGAGTGAGAGAGGGAGAGAGTGAGAGAGTGAGAGAGTGAGAGAGTGAGAGAGTGAGAGAGTGAGAGAGGGAGAGAGGGAGAGAGTGAGAGAGTGAGAGAGTGAGAGAGGGAGAGAGGGAGAGATGGAAAGCTTGTGTATTATGTATGTAGTGTATCACAGGAAAATGAAGAGAGAAACGCAGCTTTCACACACACACATACTGTTTGGTGTGTGTGTGTGTGTGTGTGTGTGTGTGTGTGTGTGTGTGTGTGTGTTGCACGTGTCCTCACCATGGCTCCAACTGAATGCGACAAGGCAAAAGAGCAACAAAGCAGATGACGAATTAAAAAAAAGAGTGAATGACACCAGTGTCCTCTCCTCCTCTCAGCCAAGTCCTGTCAGCACACACCCCCCACTCCCCCTCCCCATCTTTATCTCCCACTCCTTCAGTGCAGCCACAAATGGCTTTCCACTAGCAAATTTGACTGGCTGCGACACACACACACCGCCTCTCTCTCTTTTTTTTATACTACTGTACGTCAAGGGCAAGTAGTGAAATGCTGCGTGAAGGACACCTCCACTCACTCCATCACCTCCCTGCAACACCACCCAAAACCCCACACTGCGCACAACATCCCACACATCTGCTTTCCTTTTGCCTTTCCTCTCCACATCCTCCTTCCTTACGTAATCTTGTTTCTCCTTCCCCGAATCTTCCCTCCCACCTCCAAAGCATTTACTCTGTTTCCCAACCTCAGTCTCCCCTCCGTCCTCCTCACCCCCACGTCTCCTCTGTTACATCCTCTCTCAGAGTCTGTCTCTAAGTGGATTGATTGGGCTAAAAGTGTAGAGAGAGATAGAGACGGAGGGTTTCAGCAGCGTGAGAGAGAACCGGTCATGAACTTTTCATGAATGCAACTTGAAAGGAAGCAAAAAGGAGAGAGGGATGGTGAGACTAAAGAGGCAGTAACAGAATGCAACTTTCCCCAGGGAACCACACTGACAAAATTGCCTCTATCTCAGTCTTATTTTGTCTGGCTGGCTCCAAATCCATCCTGTCCTTTTCCTCTTACCTTGTGCAAATACATGCTGCCTAAAAATGTTATATTCTAGCTGCAGCTGACATTTTTTATCAAGTGTCTGCAGGTGTCGTGTGCCAAGTGCGAGAAAAATCAGACCGGAGTCAAATTATTCCTGCATGCACTTCTGCCAATCACTTTGTCAATTGGAGCAGTTCTGCCTCCCGCCGGGGAACGGAAGATCTGCTCAAATGAGTCGGGAGATGGTATAAAATAGAGGGCGACTTTTAGATATACCACACAAATTCCAGAGAAAACGGTTTACCTCATTTGGCTTACAAGGTCATCTCAGCTCTTCGTGCATTGTGAACACGAAATGATGTGTGCACTTTACAGTAATTATTGTTAATGTTGTAGCTATTAGAGCATCCAGTAACAGTGCAGACATGCATCATATTCAACTGTCAGAAGCAGCAGACTGAGTTGTTTTGTTCGAGAAGCAACATCCCAATCATGGAGCAGCTGGTCGGTGATAAGAAAAGCTCAAACCAACGCCTTCTTTTCCCCAAGTTATTATTATTCTGAGGGACAAGCTAATCAAAACATCTTCTGCTTTCCCAAATTGAAAAGTGTAACAAGTCTATGTGAATCTCATTGAGAAGGTTTTTAAGAAAGGCCAGGGATTGTACTTAAAACTGATTTGGCAACACACTGACTGAATGATTGTAACCGACAATATATTTCCTCTCAGTTTCTTTGGTGCCAGGTCCTTTTCCTCCATATTGCTTTTGACTGCGGGACGGGTAGTACCCAGTGATAGCACCACATGGAACATGTGAAAACATCTACAACGCAGCACTCACTAAAAAGGCAAACACCCACACAGAGTAGTATCTGGTCTGGACTGCCTTTTTACAATTTCTAGGTGAAGTAAATGAAAACTCTGCTGTCTATTGGATGAAGCTTTGCTATCTTTAAATCTCGTGTCACACATGTAACAACATTTCTCTGACAAATCACTGGTCTGCAGCCTTATTTCCCATGTTATTATTATTTGGAGGGATAGGCTAATCAAACTTGTATATCCTGCTACCATTTATGTGACCTCTTTGCTTTTCCAAATAGAAAATCTTTCAGCGTAAGTAAGGCCATGCAAACAACCCAGAGTTTTGCAGACTGCCTTTTTAAGATGTTTTATCAAGTGACAGCAAAATGGTGTTCCATTTGTGGGAGCTGTGCTATTGAAACATTTAAAAATGCCATATTTTTCTGGCTTTCCCCTGGCGTGCAATTTCTCACTAACCAATCAGTGGTATGCTGTGATTTTACTTTTATCCAAGGCAACTTACATACACTTCCAAGCCGTAGACATGCCTAAGTGTGCAATTTTGGGTTAAGTATCTTGCACTACAAAATGTTGACTGCAGGGGCTGGGGATCGAACCCCAAACCCTTTGATTAGTATATGCGATGTATCCACCCTGAGCCACAGCCATGCACAGTGAAACACAGGGTAACTGAGCTCGTGACCTTGTGACCGATTGAGGTGCACTTTGGGCCAGATAAGTACTTGATATTACCCACAACACCTTCTGGTTTCAAACTCTGCAGCTTCTTGGTTTTCTCCTGATCCTCTTTCAGTTTTCTGCTGCGTCTAGTGAGCCTTTGTCAGGCTGCAACAGATCAAAGGCAAAGCTCTCCTCCCAGAACTCATCATGAAAAGAAATCTACACAGCCAGGTCTGGAGGGTGTCGACTCTCATTTTGTTATTCTTGAAGTTTGGGCCGCCTTTTTTGCAAGCTCTTTTGAAGAGCGTTGATCCAGGGTGCTACTTACATGACTAATTCTTCATAAATGCTTCATTTATAACTTGAATTCAGTGTCTGCACTTCACCAGCGTTATTGTCTGGCAAGATGTTGCTGAGATGAAATGCTGATACTTTGACAGATTATCTCTGAATTCTATATATATTCCACGAGCATCCACAGTCACTAGAGACAGCCGTCTGAAGAAGAGTCCACGTAGCTGGCATGGATCTGTTACCAAACGTTTTTCTGGACAAGCATCACACACCTTTGTTTTCAAAATAGCATTTCAGAGCATTGCTCGGAGGCTGAAGCTCCTGTGCATGCTGTAGTTATTTCCTGTTTCTACTTAAGCTGCAATTGACAGAGCCTTTGCATTAATGGGATCGGCTCCGGCCGGTAAACGTCCATAAAATCAATCATTAGCCTCTAATCTGGTCTTTTAGCCTCTGCTAGAATATGGTGCTAATCTGCCACATACTTAACTGGCTTTTATATACGTGTGCTCAGGTCAAACTTCAGTCTCTTAATATTTCCTTTATGCTTCAATAGGGATACATTTAGTTTAGAGTACCACTATGTAGAGTTAATATTCCCTCCTATCTTTCCTACAAAAAAAACTATAAATAGAAAATTGCATTGGAATTTCTAAATGAGTCCACTGCAGAGATGTTTTTTGATGTTTGGCTAAATGTGTCAAATTAAACGTGTGCATTCCTCTCTCTCGCTCTGCTCACACTGATTCAGCTGATAGGTGGGACTGGTGCAGCTATAATTAGCTACCGTAGCATGTGGGTGGCAAATGAAGTGAGGACAGGAAGAAGAGCTGCTGGTGCCTGCAGTACACTGTGGAAAATGATGTGTCATTTGAACGTAATTGGAGGGGGTCAGTTAGCCGGATTCTACTAATACATTGTTATCATTTAGATAATGATCAGTCAGTATGTGCTCACTTTGGTAATTGGTTTCCTCAAATTACATTTGTAGGTGGTTTGGGTCACCTGTGTATGAAATACAACTCAAAGCAGCAGTCAGCCTAGATCTCAGTTATATGCCGATTCTGATGAGCGGAATTCAAAACATGCACAGAAACCTCTCTAACAACTCCTGCAGATTATTCTTTTATTCTACTGTTCATATGTATGACCATACGTTTCAAAACAATCATTATTTTGCCAAAAAATTAAGTTTGGATTTAATTTATTCAAAACACTTGTAAAACGTACTTCCGTGTATTGTAACATACAAGTGTTGCTATACATATAAGAGCACTTAAACGCATGTATATACTTGGAATGAACTATGAAAAGAGACAATATGTGGCTTTGTGTATTACAGTCAGAAGGGATTCACAACAGGCAGAAACGTGTGTTAATTTTAGACCACGTGTTGGAGCTTTGAATATCATTTGAATAGATTCTCCCCGAGGAACCGGTGTTTTACATAACACGTCTGTAACGCTCGATGTCTCGTATCACCTACTCCTGTTTAGTAATTGAATTGTGATTTATGTAATGAAACATACATTCTCTGTTAGTGAAGCTAATGGCCGTTCTACATTGTTCCCACTTCATGATGGCTGCAGTTATGTACCGTTATTCTTTATTGCAGCTTCCCTCCATGCTGCAGCTGATAGACATTCCTCATCAACAGTGTATGCATACTTTCATTTTAGGATTAGTCAAGTCTACTAAAGAGGATAATGAGGAGGATTACTCAAATTTCAGAAATGGAATTATTCTTCTCTTTCCAATATTTACTTTTCTGATTGAATTGAGGGCCTGTACAGGACTCCTATTGGCATGGATATTTTCTGAAATGTGTGTCATACTGTATACGTCTAATGTTAACAGTAGGTGGTTGCAAATAGAGCCACAACTTAGGATTATTTGTATTAATCTGCAGATTTGTTCTATATTCATCCATTTCTGTCCAGAAAATGTCCATTCCAGTTTCCCAACATCCAGGGTTATGTCATTAAATATCTTCTTTGTGAGTGCACAACGCAAATATATTTCCTTCAATGTTGTATATAAACAAAAAAGGAAAATTGTATTAATAGCATAGCATTTTCTGATGTATTTTGCATTAAAATAAATCTATTCCAACTATTCTAATTAGTGTTCTTATCGGTGTCAGAATGAGGGTTGGATACAATTATTGCCTCTGCCATCACCAGATGTTTTGTTATTACTTCTAATTTTGTTCTGGTTCTGGATTTGAAACTTTCATTAAGTCTCCCTCACACACGTTAGATCCGTGCATCCTCCTGTCTGCTAATGGAAATACGTGCACAGACATATGAATCAAACATGGGATTTGAATATGAATAAAAGTGGCTCCACCTCACATGATAATGCCTGTGTGAGTGTGCATGCATACTCAAGTGGGCCTGGGAGTGAATACAGTTAAGTGAGACATGAGTGTGCAAATATTTGACAGTGGGAGAGTCAAAGAGAGAGGGTGAAGCTGTATACTCCTCGGCAGACAGATCTAAAAACAGAAAGGAGACTATAGGCAGAGATGAGAGAGAGCAATGGAGGCAGGGAGCAGATGACTGCATTCGTTGCATTACATGGCACTGTCTGCACAGCAGGCGTGGAGGAAAGACAGACGAGAGTGGTGGAATGAAGTGAAAAGCATTTACCAGGCTTTGAAATCTACATGCAAACGTCTTTAGAGCACCATAAGCCTATTGCCAAATGTTTCATTATGCAGTTGTATTCTGGTCAGGCCACTCTTCTATGTACTACAGACGTAGTCGGACAATACAAATAGAAAAACTCCTCTTGCCACTTATAATCAGTTAAAGATAATGAGTTTAACGTATTTAAGCCACAAGTTCATTAAAGCCAAAACTCAAATCGACTATTCAATCGGCAGAGAATAAATGGCTGCCAGAATTAAACACTTGTGATTCTGTTTTCAAATGGTGTTCTTGCTTGGTCCATGCTACCCTCCTCATCAGGTTTCAAGGTGGTGAGATCATAGCTAACCACATCTTTAGCTATCATTGATACTTTTCCTGGCATATGCCTTACGCATTATTTTATCACGCCACCTCCTGTTTTTCTCGGTTTTACATTGTTACGATAACGTGTTTGAATAAATGATGCTGCTGCTAGTGGTAAAAGAGGAAGTGGTCTAGGAGGAGAGGATACTAAAGACTTGTGTGTGAGTTTTTGGTGGTGGGAAGGCAACGTGTCATACTGTGTGTAAACATGAACATTTGCACAAGATGCCATCTCAAAGTTCAGGATAGAGCGTCAAAGATAAATTCATTTGTTGTCAAATCTTAAAGTAATTGCCAACCAAATTGGAAAAAGATGAATCTGTTTGAGCATTTTTTTAAATAAAAACTCTATTTTTCTAACTCCAGCACCTTAAATGTGAAATGTTCAGGTTTTCTTACACCAATTTGAAATTAAAATGAACATCTTTGAGTTGGTAACAAAAAAAACACATTTGAAGACATCACTTTGGGAGACAATTATAGACATTTGTCAACACTTATACTCATGTCATAGACCAAACAACTGCTTGAACTGAACAGATTAACCAACAATACAACATTAAAAAGGAAAGGGTCAGTGAAATCGGATTAGGGGTTTGGTTTTAAAGTTTGTCATGCATAAATATATAAACACTCCTCAGTGCGTTTAGCCAATTATAATGAATATCATAAATCTCTGTAAACAAAAACATATGCTTACTGCTCTGAGGTGTTATTCTCACCATTCACATTGAATCAGGGTTATTTTGGTCTGAAAGGTGTGTGGGTGATGTCACCCTCTAGTGTATTTCGTTGGTGTCAGCTGGAAAATGAACACTAGCCTACTACACAGAAAAACACTAAAGCATCGTTCCCAGGAGTAACGCACACCACTGAGCGGTGTCACATCAATGCTGGGGCTTTATTTCTACACAGGGACTTGGACTTCCGTCCCATCTCCGTTTGAACCACAGCCTCATCTCAATTCAGTCTAAAGCCAAGGTCCTGTCCCGTGTCCTTGCTCTTGTGAAGCATCAAGGACTTCAGATAATAACTCGACTTCTTAGCGTTTTTTTGTCAAAACAGTATGTCATACATGATGCAGAAGTCACGGGTTGTATTTGAAACGACAGGCAAATATCTTATATGTATGAACCAGACTGTATATATAACAGGCTCTTGCAGGGGAAATTATGCGCAACTTTACGCCAACTGGACTGTTTCCATGAATGAAGATTGTGAAGACAGAAAACAACATAGGAACTGCCCTTACCTGCTCTCGTCCTGACCCGTCCTCCAAAATGGGCTCTTCAGCGGTGGCCGTCTCCTCCTCCGTCTGCATTTTCCCTCTTGCCACTCCTTCCTTCCTTAGAACCGGGCACAGGCAGCTCCCTCCCCGGTAACGTCCGAAGGCAGGGACCTCCCCGGCGGAGCAGCGAGCTCGGTCACCCCATCCGCCGCAAGTCGGTATCCAATTTCACGATGGCGGGGCCTGCGGCAAATAAGCATCGTCTACTCCGGGTTTGGCAGCACCACCTGCTCTCTCCCGGTCTCTCCTCCCGCTCAGTGTTTCTCCTCTGCCCGCTGCATCTTTCCTCTCCGGTCGAAACGTGACAAAGTGCCCAAAGTCAAAGCCGTCTGTCGCCCTCCCTGCCAAACCGTTTCCGCTGCAGCCGCTCGCTTCTGCCTCTCGTGATGCGGGCGTGCGTATGTGCACGTGTGCGCGCGTGACCGACAGCGCAGGAGAGCCAACCGGGGTCATGAGCTGCAGCTGCACTAATGAAGGAAGACGCGCGTGAGCACGAAGCTAATTACCGTTGGTTCAGGTCTGCGCGAGGGGGAAATACAGTAAATATATAAAACAGGAGGGGTGGCGTCATTATTCAAACTTTGTTTTGCCAAGGTTGTACATCGCATTGGGTCTCCGTTGACGTCATATAATACCAACATCCCCACCCCCATATAATATACACCTGAGCACACGCGCGAGAAACGCGCGCACACACTCTCAGGCACACATTAACCAACTAGCTGAATTAAAATGGGTAATTTTAAAGATGTCGGGAACATACATTATGAAAACATGTTTCTCCCAATGTTATAGAAAAACACAGATCCCGTAATTCATTATGAGAAACTGTCAAAAATAATGTGTGGATCTCAAATGAGTCAATCCCAACAAGTTTCTCATTATTTTGCACTACTAAGTTGTATGTTTGGGATAATAGTCATTACTTTCGACTATTAGGTCATTATATTGGCAACGTTTCTCATATTGAAACACAGGATTATTTTATTTGCATCTTATTTTGTTCCTTTAAAGGCGGGGTAGGTAATTCACTTCAGAAACACTTTTTGTTATATTCCATGGAATGCTCTTAACATCCCGATAGCATTGAATACATTCAATGCTTTGACAATAAATCCATAAAAAATGTCATCTGTGGAAGCCGTAGTACTGTAAAAAGCACGACCAATCATCTGAGCCGGCTCGGCTGAAGTAACTGGATGGCCTACCTGCCTGTCAGCCTTCCATCTGTGCACAAACGTATCTCGTGCCCTCATTGGTCATGTGCGCGTTCGTGTGTGTTGGAGGAGGGGCTCTGTAAGGAAGTCTGAAGGAAGAGGCAGATTTCTTCCTGTTGTGTACTTTCAAATTCTAGCGTACTCGAGCTGGTTTCTCCATTCTTACCTTCCCTACCTTTAATTGCAGAGATGGGCTTCCATAAACAACAAACATACTCACAACACCCTAATACAATTGCTACAATTATTTCAGTAACAGTTTTATTTGAAACATCATAAAGATCCATATAAATACTTCATTTCTGTTGAAGTAAGAAGAGAACTGAGTGATATGGATGATGAGGAATCAAATGGGATGTTGATAAGTATTCTTCACAGAGGAGTGGTGCGATTGAGATGTCCTGAAATGTATAAACAAAAACTGGATCAGATATTGTTACTGCTTTATATCCACATCTGACATTTATGTTTATTTTATTAGATACAGACCCTTGTTTGCTGAAGGACTGGTGAAGAGGTTCCCAGCTGGTCTGTGGAGCTGTGCGGCCCCCGGTCCTACAGGTAGGCTGGAAGACAGCTGACGGACCCCCGAGCTTTTCTTGTTGTGTGTACTGCTGTGATCCTTGAGCCAAACATCATATAATCTCTCAGGAAGGATGGGTGAAATGATTTAAGGAACATCTTCTATAAAGACCACCAAGACTTGATGAATCTCAAAGCAACTGCACGTTAACATTCATTAATTCCGCTTTCTCAAAGGAATTTTCCTTATGTCACCAGTGATGTCAACTTGATTTAAACAAAAGCACCTGCATATTAAGTAAAAGCAATGCTAAAAAGGCAGAATTCTGGCTGCTATATTTGCTTGCGGAAACACTTGTTTCTAATGACTAAGGATAACAATCTAAATGTTTCTTAATAAGTGAGCAACTTATTGAGAGGATATTGGCAGTGACAGGCAGGTAGAGGATGTCTGTCTCAGTGTGGAGGATGATATCTTCAGAGAGGTTCTTCTTTGGCTCCTCCTCTCCTGCTTGGACTGCACACATGGCAAACAGCTGAACCTGCAGCTCAACATGCAGACCTGCAGCCACCTGGACACACACACACACTTCTTACAATGTGGCTCCTTTAACACATTTAATCATTACACCCAGCTGGAAACTCACAGGCCCAGGGTTGTAGATGACACGGAGGCCTGTAGCAGCAGGAGGCTGTTTCACATGGAACCTTGCAGAGGGAGAGATCGAAACAAAAAATAGCTGCAGGTGAATGTTTTCCCTTTAGATTTGAAGGTGACACAAGACTCTCCTGTACCTCACCAGAGAACTTTTTTTTAAATCTCTGACACCCTGCTAATTATAATGCTGAAACTAAACTAATAAACTAATACTTATTTTGATTATTTCCTAGTCCATCTGGTGTCTTACCTGCAAGTGTCAGCACCCACGTTCTTCATCACCACAGTAATTGCAGAGGAGGTGCCCTCCTGCAGAGTGCCAAAGTCAACAGTGGAGGGGAGCAGCTGGAATCCCCTTGCTATGACACTCGGATCAGTCAGAGAAATAGTCCGACACTTCCTCCTCACCGGCTCCTCCACTGATAGGAACTGGGATAGAGTGATGTGTGACAGTGCGTGTGACACAGAGAGAGGGGAGCATGTAGGTGTCTAGATATATAATAATGTATAATAGAATAGATTTTGGGAATGATTGGCTACCTGTTGATTTGGTATGCTGCGAGGTTTAGAGGTGAGGATAGAGGTTGGGAGTCTGACTTTAGTCCTTCTGAGTTTTCCAGTCACATCCAGCTGAACCGACTTGCTTTGCCCAGGTGAACCCCTCACACTGCGTTCCCCTGGATACATAGAAACATGGTCCTTCAGGCATTGATCTAAATGCCCATGACCTGCATCACAACCCATTTAGAAATAATCTGCAAATCAATGACTGTGAATTGAAGGAGGCGTTGAGATGCAAGCAGCTATTAATCATCAATTCAAATACATTTCCAACCAACATACAAGTAATGTTACATAACTTGTTGACACATAATATACTGTTTATACCTGATAGAAAATATAAATCTTTAGTCCTATTTAGAACATGAATTTGTTTTTTTCTTTTCTAGCAATGTAGGTATTTGCACCATACCAGTGAGAAAATGCGACAGTTTAATGCACTTTGTTGCCCGATGACGCATGAAATATAATTCAGACTATGACCTCAAAATGTCCCTGATATATTCAGATGTATTTCCTGATTGATTATGCTGTTCCCCGTGCTTCTTGCTAATCTTAAAATAGTCATTTGAAGTCATTCCGCCTGCATTTGACACAAAAAAACAATATATAAAAGAAAAGAAAAACAAACCAGCACTGTGAGGCGTGGGGTTGCTGGGTCTTTCCTTAAGCCTCCTCTCACTTCCTGCTGCATGACTTAGAGCAAATGGAAACATTATTTAGACAAACAATGTATGAGGAAGAAAATCAACTGATGTTTTGTGATTCAAGAACAGTTTATAACATTCTCTTTATTACCTTGCAGATTGAGAGGGTGTTGGGTTTAAGGGTCGTGGGACTGCAAATAAAAACACGATATATAACACAGTATGCATTTGACTGTATCTTCATTTGAATGAATGCACTCTTTTTCATTCACTTATTGATACGGATGTTCTTTCCTTCTAAGACAAGCCAAATTGTCTGCCGTGGAAAATATCTATTTAGCTACCGTTTCTTTGTACAGATTCCCAACAGGACTCCTTTAAAATGAGTTTCATGTCAGTAGCTGTTGGTGAATGCTGACAGTATAATAACCTACTGTTCTCCTGTGGGGCGTCTTTCAGGAAGTCTTCAGCACTGTCTGAGCGGGGGATCGGAGGGAGGCCCATGGACAGACTCCTCATGTCTGGTGTTTGGTGCTGGAGAAGCTCCTGGAAAACAAACATGTTGTGCGTTTTTCATGTGAGAAAAGGTGAATTGATGTGTGTTTAGCTTGAAGGATTTTTCATAATAATGCTGCCACAATAGTTAAAGAAAATGTACTTCGGTGTATGCATTGATGTGAACACATACAGTACCTGATATAATTGGATATTTTCTGGGTAGAAAAAAGGAACAATGCTGTTTGTCCTCAGAGACTTTCTATAAGCCTCATCCTCACACTTCTCCTGTCTGAAACACACACAGAGGCAAATACAGTATAGTGGGATGTGTAGTAAGTACAGCTCGTAAATATCTTATTTTAAAGTTATCGCAGTGCTATAAAGATAATCAGACTTTAAGACTTTGAACTTGATAAGCTACTTAACGTCAAGGTGGGTATAAAACAGTGTGAGAAGAAGCCTGTGTTTACCTGTGCTGTGCAAGTCTTTCAGTCCATGTAGACTCTTTGCCATTTATAAAACTAGATCGGAGAAGAGATTAAAGAGGATTTTACATACACATACTTTTTGTTATATACAATACATGGACCATTTACTTTAAAGACTGTAACCTTATCTGTTCATGCATGGCATTGTAATGTCTTCTACCTCTCATTAGCTACTGTGACTGTGTCTCTTGACACATCCGACTGCTCAACTGGAGCTCCGACTCCTTGGCTGTACAGGTTGGCTATCTCCTCTGTGGAAACATACAGAAGAATAATGGAAGAAACATACCTTTGGCATTTACATGTACTTCCCTCAAACTACTAAATATTAGACTTGAAAACCTCAAATGTAATTGCATGTCAAGCTAGTACCTGATGCTCGGACAACAAATCTAATGCAGCCATCCAATACATTTTAGAATTGTTCTCATTGTTATTCCTTGTTATTTTGTTAGCTTTGAAAATATTAGCTTAACTGTAAAAAGAAAGTTAACCAAGGCACTGCAAATGAACATTTTATTTCTTTGGACTCAACTGAATATATATTGTTCTAAACATAGCCTACAAAACGGCTTTTTCCCACCTGAAGTCCTCTTGTCAAAGGTGTGACCTCCAGTATCTTCTTCTGCAAAAGACTTTAACATGCATAAGAAATGATTTATATAAATATCATGTAAATCATTTAATACATTATTTGTATATTTTCTGTGTTCATTGGGGAAAGACAATGGCGATAACATTCTTTTGTAGTACTATAACTTGTGTCTGTGTGTGTTTGTGTGCACAGACCAGGACCAGACTGAGCAGATCGCTGGCATGAGCGCTCTCCTCCTCAGTGCGAGGGTCTTTGACCTTCATCTCCTCTAAACGCTGCTCCGTCTCCATCAAACTCTCTAGGTAATCCTGCAGTCACAGACACATTTCAACTTTTTCAAAGCAGTAGTATCACAGTGTGAAGTTTCGAGGCCTTTCTTTGACCATGCCAGAAATCACTTTTCCAGGTGACCAGATATTCTTTTTGATCTGCCTGAGAAAACAGACCTGTAGACTCTGTTTAAAACTCAAGCATTAAACACAACAATTATAGGGGAATCCAGAAGGTTAAAATACCACCTACACATAACAGCAATTGGAAAGTATTGACAGTATATTATAGATACCAGGGACATTGGTCTGTTTTACCTTCAGTCGTGAGTCCACAGTATTTCTGAGTGGTGTGGTGATTGGTCGGTGCTGGTACAGCTCCCTCGTCTCCAGGACTTTAGGGCTGCTCCTGGCGGGTTGACGCTGTGCTGCTGAACCAGCGGACCTCTCTCTCAGAAACAAACCTCGACCCATGCGGGTACCAAACGGAGGACCTGGGCTCACTCTCTGGAAAAGAGAGTGTGTTGAGTATCTTGTTTTTCTGTGTGTAGATGTATAATACATGTATATTTTCACACCTGTACCTCTGTTTGAGGGAAATCATGCCAGCTGCGGTTTTTGAGGTTGGGAGGGGTGATGTCCGGGTTCTGTTTCCCTAGCAACCACTGGGACCACACGCTCTGATGGCTAGGCTTAAGGATGGTGATGCCAAACTCATCTGTAAAAGAACAAAACTTCAGATTATATTCTGGAGATTTGCATAACCTTCCCTTTTGAATTTTGGTCAAAGGGGATACAACACCATTGCAAGTAACCAACATAATGGACCATTATCTTGATTAAAATGACAGATTTTTCTAGGTTTGAAAATTGGTAGGCATTTTGAAAAATGTTAGTATCAACAAAAAATAAGATAGGGCCACTTATTTTTACAAATGTAATGTAATATTGAGAAGTTACATATTATATAGTTGTACTACAATTTGGATAGATAATGAAACAGTTCTAAGTGAATCCGCTGCCTAAAGTTATTCTTTAGTTATTTCTTGGTGTTATAGATATTGAACAGGGCACCTTGTGTGTCCGGCAATGGCTCCTTCAGCAGTGCGATGGTGGGGTCAGAGTAAGCCTGGTAGAGCAGCTCCTCAACGGTCTGAGAGCTCAGCAGTTCAGTACCAGAGCCGTCCTCATGCACCAGAAACAGCCTGCAACATAACACGATGTTCCTCTGACATTATCATCCACAAAAGCAGTACAATAATAATACTTAAATATCACCTTATCACTACTGATAATGTATTAAGGCAGAATACATATCATTTTATACCAATAGCAACATTAAAGGGATAACAATTAATACAAATTCAGGCCCACCTGGGACAATGTTCTCTGTGTTGAACATGTATCCTGGCCCTTTCTCTGTCCTCCTCCTCTGGCTCCTCCTCCTCATCCTCTTTAAGTGTGCTTGGAGCAGGGATATAGTCCAACACTAATACCTGTCCATCTTCCATCACCTTTAACACACATGCAAAGTTCAGAGAATATTTAATGACTTTATTTATTATCAGAGAATCTGAGAAGGACAGTTGTTTTTCAAATATGTTTTATATGAGGCTGTCTCCACAGCCAATATGTGGCCTTACATTACATTACGTGTTACTTGTTAGACGCTTTTATCCAAAGCGACTTACATACTCAATACTGTGGACAATCCCCACAGGAGCAAATTGGAGTGAAGTGTCTTTCCCAGGGACACACTGACAACGACATGCTGACTGCAGTGGGGTTTGAAGCTGTGCCCCCCTGATCCGAACACCAATGCACTAATCCACTGCGCCACACGCCTCCTTACTTCACATCTTTACATCTTCCTATAATCCTGACCTGAAAGTGGTTTCCATCGGGGTCTGTAACATCACAGGCCACTATGTCTGTATGACTCATGGTGTAGCTTCCTGATTGGTTTGTTGGAGTGCCACCCATTGGACTGGGGGTTACAAGGGGGTCGGACGAGTACACACATTTCCCATCACTTTGGATCTGTAGGAGCCCCCCACTGGATGGAAACACCTTGGAAACACAAATAATCAAACATGTAAATCAGTGTGATTGTCAATCTTCTTAAAAGCAGTAAAGTACGGCATACATCCATATCCATCTATCTTGCAACAAAAAAAACACGCCCTGAAATAGGATTATTTGTTTTTGTTTAAAGGTCCCATGTCATGCTTTTCCTGGTTAATACCCGGCCCCTTGTGTGTTATGAAGGTTTTTATGCATGTAAACGGTCTGCAGAGTCAAAAACCCTCAAAGTACACCCTGTAGCGAGTAAAACTCTATCACAGAAAAGACCTCCCCAAAGCGCCTCGTTGGAGATTTCTCATTTTCTTCCTGGGTATCGCTACGTAGGGATACCCAGTAGCCACGCCCAGAGCTATGGCCGCACCCTCTGCCAGCCTTTCCCGAAACAAAGCTTCCCAAACCTTTCAGCGATTCATGCCGGATGATATGTACAGCGTAGGACACTGAAGAACGATGCTGTTCCTACTTTGTTTGGACCAGCGGGAGATTCGGGTACACAACCTGTAAGTATTCATTGTTGTTTGTGTATTTATGATGTTTAAAACAAACAAGGTATCTACCACGACTGTTTAAATGGGTAAACGTTTTTCGGACTGCTAAGTTGGGATCGCGGATAAATGCTCTCCGCAGACCCATGCTCACAGCGTTATAAACCTTTTTCTTACTCACTATCAAGCCACACTTATTGTTTTTACTTCGGCTGTGAGTGTTTGTGTGTGCTCAGGATGAGTTTTGCTTGTTCTTGCTGTATTTGTTTCGCCGACACGGAAGCCCTGTCTGCTACAGCAGCTCCTCACTGGTCAAGCGACGTGCAGCTGCTCGTGAGGCTCACAGCCTCACGAGCTGCACATCGCTTGACCAATCAGAGCACACTGGGCTCACAGGGAGGGGGGGGGCGAGCTCCAACAAGCCATTTAGGACAGAGAGTGAATACCGGTGAATACACATACTTCACAGAGAAGCTGTATGAGAAACCAATGTGAGTTTGGAAAATTGCACAGTATAAATCTATTTTAGTATACCTCAACAATGGAATTATGATCAGTAGAAATGACCATGACATGGGACCTTTAAAAAGCGATCATTCTTCCCCTGTAGCACTACACACAGGGCCAAATATTATAAAGTAAGTTTGAGGGATGTTACTAGTGGACCATTATTATTACTAAAGATATACCCAAAAAGCTTATATGCAAACCTCGCTATAGTTAATCATAATTATAATTTTCGAAGAATTGTCTGGCAATGTTTGCAGTTTAAATGTTAAAAAAACATTTCAGAAAAACATATACAATTCCCACCATAACATTAAAAATAGATGTGTTATTTGTCTTTTACTACCCACCTCATATGCTCCTTGGTTGTTCCCAGTGATTACAGTCCCATCTGCTAAGAAGACGTGAGCCATGTGTCGCTCTGGGTACATCACCACTGTGCAGCAGCCCTCCTTCTCCACCAGCACCACCCGCTCCTTGGCAGACACACTGTCCTTATTGCTTTCACATGCACTACTCTTACCATTGCCAGCCACAGTATCTTCCGCAAACACACTCTCCTCACCGTCCTTATACACACTACTTTCTCTTTTATCACACACATGCTCACACTCAGTCCCACCCTCCTTGTCACACGCTATCCTTGCACTGTTGCTGCTAATGTCTTCACCGTTGTCAACAGCATCCTGAATATTTTCAGAAATGCTGTCAGCACAGCGCGTGACACACACACACTCAGATTCAGTGGTTGATTTAAGGGTCTCATGCTGCTCCCCTGGAAAGTAACAGACACATGGACTCAGGTCAGATCAAAACAATAACCTTAATTTAAAGATTAAGTACATTTTAATGTGAATATGCTGTATGTATATTCTGGTCACCTGTGTGCAGCAGTGTGTGCTGTGGTGTGCTTGGTGGTCTGTGTTGGTACAGGCTAGTGATCCTGGTTCCGTCTGCATGTTCTACACTTAAAGATCCGTCGGAGTTCTGGACTGAAACCACCAGATCCTCGCGGCTCAGCATCACCTGACGAAGCAACACACGCAAAGATGCTCGAACAATTATGTTGACATAAGAAACAGATTGGATGTATTGACAGAGGAGCACCTCCTTGAAACAATCTATGCCCATTACTGAAATTAACATCTATATTCATCGAAAAAAAGGAAACTGAAAACCTAAACTTCTAGGTACTGCTCTCTTACGTCATGGGTGATGGGGTCTGTGGCCTTGAAGGCGAGGAGAGGCGTGGTGGGTTTGTGTTGGTGTGTTGTCCCCACAGTGTAGATGCGAGCCCCAGACGGACTCGTTGTTAACCAAAAACCTCTCTGACCACCAGCCTCCTTCTCTGAGCTCGGCTCTGTGTAGACACACATAAAACATACAAAGTTTGGGTTTATCCTGTGCTCAGTGATTATCAAAGTGTTTTCTATTCAGTGGTGCTGCACTCTAACCTTTCTTTCTGTCCTTAGTTTCTTGAGACATGTTTTCTTCCTCAACTTCAGAATCAGGAACCCACACCGGACCAGAATCCTGGCTGAAGCTGACTGAGCCATCAGCAAATAGAACCTGCAGTGCACATATGATTTGAGTGTTGAGTGTGTGTGTGTCGTAAAAGAAGTTCAGGTCATACATTGTCAAATAAGAAGTCATACATGTGTGCACAATGTTTACCTCTGTAGACCCGTCTCTCATGATTCGGATCACAGCTCCCTGGCTGGTGACAATGCGGGACAGTTCTTTGGAGAGGGAAGCGTCCTGAAGCTGCCCAACAACTCCTTCACCATGAAGAGGAAAGCTCTGTTTCACCAACATACCCTGCTCCTCTGAGGACACTCCTGGACACACATATACAAATAAATCATGTAATAAATATTTTCCAGCGAGTGATGGGAATACAGAATGTATGGAATATATAAACTCACATTTTAAGTAGGGCTGTCAAACGATTACAATTTTTAATCAGATTAATCACAGCTTAAAAATTAATGAATCATGATTAATCACCATTCGAACTATGTCCAAAATATGCCATTTCTTTATGTATATTGTTGTGGGAATGGAAAGATAAATGAAAGAAGGCGGATATATCCATTTAACATACAGTATCTATGTTTATTATAACATTTTTCTGAGTGTCTAAATGAAAGACAACCCACACACCTATCAGTCATCAAACCGTGGGGTCTTAATTCATTACGTGTTGATTTCTATCAACGGGGGAGTACTTCAGGAAAGTCGACGGGGGGGGGGGGCCTAGTGGAGTACTTCAGGAAAGTCGACGGGGGGGGGGGGGGCCTAGTGGAGTACTTTGTGACCACAGAGTGTGAACGTTGTGATCAGCTGTTTTAGCGCAGTGCTCCAGTGAAGGGGGGGGAGTCTCCCTCCGCAGCCGGTTGGCGTAGTTTTGGCACAATTCCGTTGTACAGACCGACGTTAACAGCAGCCCTGTCTGTGCACACGGAGACCGACTCTGTCGTCCGGTGATCTAACCGCCTTTTGGAAAAGCTTCACAAGTACGTCGGTATGCAAATGCACTTTGTGACACAAGTAACGGTACGCATTTCAGATTACGCACATAACCTGCGTAAGTTAAAAGTATTCTCCGTCGGGACTTCCTGCAACAACACCACACCGTTATCTTGATTCTGATTGGCCAGAAGACATTATCAAAGATGTTCTATTGAGAAGACGATAACTACGTGACAAAAGTTTTCAAAACCGTTTCTGGTCTTCGGTATTTCCAGATAAGTGGCTACTGAAATCAATCTTACTAACTGCTGTCTGTGCAATTTACTCCGCGCGAGTTGGCAGACTTTATTTTGCTTACTTTAACATCATTTTTCATGATGGGGCTAAGCCATTTCTTGGTATGGGTGTAGCCTACCCCAGCCAAACCCTGGCGCTGCCACTGGTGGGATGTATGGGGCGGGCGATTCTGCACATGCGTTAAATGCGTTAAATATTTTAACGCAATTAATTCAAAAAATTAATTACCGCCGTTAACGCGATAATTTTGACAGCCTTAATTTGAACACAAATCACTATCTGCAGGTTGAGTCTCAAATAATTTAAATGGAATACACAGAATGCATTAAAACTTTTTTTTTAAATTAAAGCCACTTAATTATCAATCAAATTCGATTTCTCCCCGGGTGCAATCACTACCAGTGGCAGGGCTATTTCACTTCTTCTCACTTCATCGTTACACATGCAGTTTTATAAAACTACACTTGTGAGAATACACACACCTTTGTCTGTTCGTGTATACTTTTCAGAAAAAGTGCAACCCTGACCTTGTGCATCCTCTCGCAGGAACTGCAGCAGCAGACCGTTAGGTACAGACAGGCTGAGACTGTTGAATGGACTCGATGGCAATACTGTCTGACCTTCACACACCTTAGATTACAATCAACCACAAACATAGGTTATGACCAATACAATAATAAAAGCAATATAATCTTCACATGTAGCACAAGATACAAACTATAGGTCATTTCGCCCAAGATGGTTGTTACTATTTCATATTGAGTCTGGAGACCAATTTAACTTGAATTCTTATGGTTAAAAGGTTGTGTATGTAAACATGGACTGTCAGACCAGACATTGGTTTGAATTGAATACATAATAAGATAAAGGTATTGTTATTAAAAAAAATGTAAGCCATTGATAAGCCTTTGTTTAAAATCGTATTTCCGTCACTGTATTAATGTGTGCCTTCTTGTGAGTTTGTGGAACCTGGGACAGTGGAGGTCTGGCAGCGCTGTGTGTCTTGGAGGGAACCGGGTCCAGATCTGTCCCCTTAGAGCGGTAAGTGGAGGATGGGGGAGGGTTGGGGACAAAGGTGCCGGTGTCTGGAGCCCCTCCTTCTGTGGTCTCCTGAGGACTCACTAGGATATCACCAAACAGAAACAGTTAATACTGCCAAAATGGAAGTCAATTCAACCCTTTGTTTAATCAAGACACAATAGAGTCCCCGTCTCAGGTCGACTATTTTCATTTCCTCGCTCCTCGGTCTCACCGGAAGTTGATTTGTCCGCGCCATCTTGAGTACCGTCCCATGGCTCTTATTTCTGCCGGAGGACCGAGGATCGAGGATCGAGGAGCGATAACCGAGGAATCACTAGACCATCCTTCGATGAAATCCTCAGACACTCGCCCCGCCCCCTTACTGTGTATCGCTCACTGATTGGACGATGCAGTGCATGCACTGATCTGATGCTTCTTGACATGAGAGCAGTTTCCCAGCGGAGTGAAGAAAATACATGAACCTCACGGGAGTCACTCCTCAGTTTATACCGTGTTTTGTTTCAATTCATGTATCATTTAGTTACAAATATGTGATATATCTGAACAACAAAGTGGTCAAAAATCATTTTATTCATTTGTTGGAAACATTTTCATGATCGCTTTTTTCGTTTTACATTTTCATTTATTGTCATTTCCATTCAGTCAGTCATTAAGTGCTATTAAAATGTTAACGTGCTACATATCCAAACAAACAAACAAACAAACAAAGTGTGCAATCCAATGAATGTTAATCTAACTGGGTTTTGATAGATAACATATCTCTTTTTCTTCTCTCAATTCTTTTATTTCTATTGTGCACTCTAATCAATATTAATCTAACTATTGTTCGTTTATACATTTTAAGAATGGCGTTTATCTTTTTTGAGAATGAGTTCTTATTTGATTTGATTTATTTGGGTCTACAACAGATGATACAAATGTTTGTGTCAGTAAATGTGTACTAACAGAGGCGGGGGTGTGTGTGGAAACAACGGGGACAGAGCTGCTGTCAGACGATCAGCTGTGCAGCGTCATCACAGACGGACGTCACGTGGACGCTCCGGAGGAAAGGACGTCCCATTGCTCTTAAAACTAATTTCCCTGCTTCTCGTGGTTTCCTTGCGTCTCTCCATGCTTCCCTGGTGGGAGAGACGCAGGGAAACGACGCAAGTGAGGGACGCAAGGATTCCATTTAACCGACCTGAGACGGGGCCAGAGAACCGCAGTGACGCATCCTAAAACCTGGAAGTAAGTTAGCATTTTTACCACTTTCGGTTCCTTCGTCAAAAAGCAATGCATTTTCTCAATAGGGTTTTGGAAAATAGCTCGAAATAAGGTCTGTGTTTGACACAAATTGAAGAGATAGATCACGTTTTGTTCTACGACATTAAATACATCAGCAGTGACCCCGCTGGTGATTTTTGAAGAGTTTACGTGTCTGAAAAACGATGGTTGTTACCGAGTGGCTGAATAGGACTACAGAAGTTGTCGAGGCCGTTGTACGTCATTACACCGAACACGTAAACACTCCCGCTAAGTTTGTTTTCCCCCGTGTTCTGCTTGAAATTAAGTACCTGCCTATCTTTAGTATCTGTATTACCTTTAGTATCTGTATATCTATATCTGACCATTAGAATCTGTATTTTTGAAATTGTCGTTTTTAACACCGTAATTTTACAAATTATAGAATAATTAATTACCAGTGTTTTCCAATTGTACTCGGCAGTTCGTTTTGTTAGCTAACGTTAGCTAAAGCTAGCGCTACTAGTTAGCTACGCAATGGTTTGTTGCTTTGCTCCGGGTTGCAGCCACAGGTCTTTGCATGAAACGTGCTCGTTCTATCGTTTCCCGGCTAATGTTTTCCAAAGGAGAGTCTGGATTCGTGCTATTAGGTAAGCTGACGTTACATTTTTGTCCATGTTGTGGAGGAAACTTCTGTGTAGCAATGCAGTGGGAGTCACCGACTCATGAAGGAGACACAGGACGAGCAGGAGTTCTGATGTCAAACACTGGCAGTTTATTGCAAGCATCGGCCGGAGAAATTCACATCACAAGTCACACAGTCAAAGGTTCTGACTGCACGGTGGTTTGCCATGTCAAATCTGAATCAGCCTCTCATCTCAGTAGACCTTTTAATCAGTTTACAGGGAGTCAACCCACACATTGGGGAAGGCATCTATGAACACCTGGAAGCACTGAATCACTTTATCTGACTCTATGGCTCTTGGGACCGAGAGTTGACCAGTCATAAAACTGACAATGGCAGTAAAAGCTGACACTTCCCATTCCTTAAGACAGATAACAGACTTCGGCTTGGTCGTAAAACGTCAACAAGCCGAAAGGTAAAATCTCTTAAGTAAAGCTAAAATTATTCCCTCACACATGTCACGGTGAAATTTAAATGATGGGTAGTGACTGTATCGCCGCTTTAGAGATGGCGCTGCTGAAAAGACCGCAACATAAGTAAAGATAATGAATAAATCCTATTAAAACCTGTGTGGCTTATATGACAAGTCTAATCTACCATTTATTTCTTTAGTTCAATTTTGATCTATAAAAATGTCAAAATAGTGAAAATGTTCAAGAGACTTATCAAAGTGCAAGGTTATATCTTTAGATGTTTTGTTTTTTAGCCTATGTACTGTATGTCTTAATGCTCTTATATGTGACGGTGTGACTTCCATGAAACTAATATTTTATATCTTCCCAACAGACGAGCTGAGAGGAAGCCCAATGCCTGTTCCCGCATCTGCAGCTGTCATTTTCCTTTACAAAAGAGAAAAAGGCCTGTTTCATTTGAAGCACAGAATGTAGAAGAGCATTCCTACTGTCTGAGAGGGATAATTGATGGAATGGAGGAAGAAGCTGCGTGTCTAATGACTGAGGAGGAAGCAGGTCTATCAACACAGGCGGCTGCTAATGAAGATCCTCAACCACATCTGAGAATGCAGAGGAGCAAGCAACCACGGTAGAAGAAAAACTTCAATCTCAGCAAAGACACATAATGCAGCTAGAGATCCAGCTAGAGGAGTCCAAGGTTGTTGTGGTGAGTTACTGCCGTGACAAGTATTCTGCCTCTCATCTGAGTTTAAAGGTTCTTCGGATGGCGACAGGATTGCCAGATAGAGACACATTCAGTGCTGTGTGAGTATGTTGCTCGTTTTGAGGGTTCCATTACATACCCAGAAGGTTGGTTCCCCAAAGCACTGAGTCTTGAAGACCAAGTTTTCATGACCCTCATGAAATTGCGTCATAATTACACACACCTTCATCTGGCTGCACTCTTTCACTGCGGTGAATGCACTCAGAAATGTGATTGTAACATTTATAGAGGTTCTCCACAAATTACTTTTTAAGGACATAATGAGTACTGTTCCCAGTCGGGGGGAAAATAAAACCAGCTTGCCTTCTTCATTTCGGCACATCCAAAACTGCAGAATGATAGTGGATTGTACGGACATCAACATTGCTATCCCCAAGCAAATGGATATCCAGAAAGAGACCTACTCTGCTTACCGTGGCATGCACTCCTTCAAACTACTGCTCGGGGTAGCACCAAATGCTGTGATCACATACTGCAGCAAACTATACCCAGGATCAACAAGTGACAAAGAAATAGTACGGGATTCTGGTGTTCTTCAGCATTTCAAACCTGGAGATCTAATGTTGGCTGACAAGGGATTCTTAATCCAGAACATTCTTCCTGAAGGAGTCACTGTCAACATTCCCCCATTCCTCTGTCATGGCCAACTGACACACAGCGAAGCACAGGCTTCAAAGCTTATCGCACAAAATAGGATTCACGTCGAGAGAGCAAATGCTCGTTTGAAAGAATTTAGGATCCTAAAGTTCATTCCATCTCACCTGAGGCCCTTCGCAGATAAACTGGTGCAGGTATGTTGCGCACTAGTGAACTTCCAACGTCCTCTCATAAAAGAGGTGGCAGAAAAATAGTGTCTTTTCACATGTAAACACATATGTTTCATACGCATCTTTTCAACTCTGTCTACCCATAAGCCCCCCTCCCCCCTCTCAATCAACTTCCTCTTGACTGTCTTTTCTGTTTATTTTACTATATTTATTTGTTTGCCTGTCCTTGTTTGTCTACCCTCCCTCATACAGTAAAGCGTCTTTGAGTTGTAGAAAAGTGCTATATAAATAAAATGTATTATTATTATTATACTTTGTTTTACATTTTGAGTTCATCATTACACTCAAACTATGTCTTTTCACTGGGTGCATTTTATTTCTTTTATTTAGGTTCTGTTTAATACACATGTTAATTTGACTCAGATGTGCTGATAATATCCGCAAATATAAATCTTTAAACTGTCTTCTTACCTTTAAAAGTCTGGCCTCTCGGGGTAGGCTCATGTTTGTTTTCTGTCTTTCTCTATCAAAAACGTTACTCCAAATAATGGTTTGTGATTTGGGATTCAAAGGCAGGCTTGAATCAAGAAACCACAATAGTTTTCTGCATGGACTGCCTTTTTTAATTAAGAAATATTATTTTGTAAATATGTTATTCTCTGTAGTCAGAAACCTAACACTCTAACAACCACAACATTGCAAAGGCGAGTAAATGTAAATTAAAAACGATTCACAATTTCTTAAAAGTACTATATTTGAAAATGATAGATTTATGATCTTTTTCATCGAACATATGAACGACTCAAACAAGGATCGCAGCAGCTACAAGAAAGATCTTCAAAGGGGAAACCATAACATCCTGAAGCTGAGTTTTCTCTAAAAACATTATTTAATTTTAACAGCAGTGCTCTCTGAACTCAGAACAAGTAAATTAATATGCCTTTTTGTTTTTCTGTCTTTTTCAGAAAATAACCACAAGTGACAAAGGTGATTATTTCGGCAGTGCCAGCTTTGGAAGCATGTGGGCCTTGAAAAAGTCCTCAAGAGCCAACAGGTTAGGCTGCCAATTGTAATCTTGGGCTATCGGAATGATGACACTGTCTTTCGTAGTCCAGACCACAGAGTAGCAAGTCTCTCTTGCAGTGAGGTGAAGCTGACCTTGCACTTGGTGCCAGTAAGGATGTTCCTCACGCAGGCTGAATGTTTCTCCTTCCTTACTGACACAGAAGCCCTTGATTTGCAATGCTTCACTAATACCTCATTCACACCAACAGTGTTTCAGGGCCGGTTCGGAGCTGGAGCTTGAAAAGCACCGGGTTTTCCTGTTCACACCGCAGTGGAGCAGCCTCTTAGCTCCGGAATCCGGTTCGTTTCAAGCACCAAAAAATTGTCCGGCTAGAGCAAAAGCACCACATACGTCACGCTTACGTTGAGGCGGGGGCAGGGGCAGGATCAACTCCTGAACAACAACAAAAAGCCCCGTTTTATCCAGTTTGTACACAACGATGGAGAAACTTAACAAGCAGCAGTGGTCCACTGAAGAGACCAGCTACCTACTGGGAATCTGGTCTTCCGAAGAGGTACAGAGGAAACTGGAGCACAATCGGCCATTGTTGTTGTTGTCGGTGTGAGCTGTGAGGGGTTTCCGCGCGGTTTGGCTTTATGAAGCAGGCACGCAAACGGTTACGTCATGACGCAAACGATGACGCAATTACGCAGCAACAGTCGGACTCTGGGCGGTGTAAAAAGAGCCGGAGCTAAACCGAAGAACAGGTTCTGAACCTGAAAAGCACTAGCACGGAGCTTGAACGGAGTTGTGTTGGTGTGAATGAGGTATAATTGTCATTTCCCTGGCTCCGCAGGGACACTTTACCTCCAGCACAGCGAAAGGCCCTACCACACCATCTGGAGATGCCCCCAACAATCCTGATTGGGAGAGCCACAAACCTGACTCATGGACCTGCATCTGGGTTGCATTCATTCATAGTCCCCCACTGTACAGACAAAACACCATCAAGGGCCTGTTGTTGCCCTAGCACCCTGGCAATAAGGGAAGCAGTCACACGCTTTGACCTCAGGACAGCTCCAAAGTTGCTGTCAGTCAACCTTCCTTTCCTGAACAAATGCCAGTTTGGGTTGGTTTGCTGACCAGTGGTAGCCACCTGAATTGCCCTCTGTTGCTTCTCAGACAATGCCATGCTTGCCACAATTGCCTCAGGTCCCTGATGCCCAACAGATTTGATAATTTCAGGAACAGTAAGTGTTTCCAAGCTGTAGTGTTCCTCTTCTGGCTCGGGGGAGAGAAGCCAAGAAATTCCTGAGAACCTGCCCCCGAGTCTGTTCCTCAGCCAGTCACGATCTTCGGAGGTGGGCTCTCTTGTCAGCGGGTTAAATGAGTTATTGGTTGGAGGAAATAGCTCCTCCACTGAATGCTTAAGTTTAGCTGCCTTTGGCTTCTTCCACTGCTTCTTCCAGTGCAGCTGAAATTGTGGATGGCAAAGATGGCTAATGCAGCCGCATGACTGAATTTCCATTCTCCACGTGGGCATTCACATTTTGTGGAGAGAATTCCCTCTTCTCCTGTAGATACCTGTGGTGGTGGGATTGTTTTATTATTTAAAATATATTTACATTTGTAATGCCTTCCCAATTATCCCTTTAATTGTTTATAGCCTACTGTATGTTTATTTCATGGATATTTCAGTGTTTTCTGGTGTGTAATATTTGTAATAAAGATTTCATGTGACACATAAAATGGATTTGATGATGGGAATTAATGTCACTAATGTGAATAAATTAACTCGAGGTTAACGGTACTCTTGCTATCACTACTCACCGACACTCTATAAACCTTGTCCCTCATACTAGCCCTGACATCTTTGTAAAACGATATCAGACTGGTAATTGACACAGCCATGACTTCTAGTTAAATTCAGTTTCTAAAATGAAACGCTTTGTTAAAATATGCCAACGCGCGAAAGTTATTTGAAACGATCTTAAGTTGGCGTGACGTTGAAGTCGTGCGACCCTGCTGTTCTCGCTTGTAGTTCGTTTATAGCATAACGTTAGCATTTTGCTTCAGGCGAATAGATTTATGATTCGAAATTTATAAAAGTAGGGTAGACATGTGGAGATTATCCGGCTGAACAAAACGTGATCCCTCTCTTAAATGTGTGTCAACCACAGACCTTGTTTCGAGCTATTTTCCAAAATCTTATTGAGAAATCTCATTGCTTTTTGACGAAGGAACCGGAAGAAGTTTACTTCCGGGTTTTAGGATGCGTCACTGCGGTTCTCTATAACAGGAATATTCAAAGCACTGAGAGGGACCATATTCAAATTATTTTCAATTTTAAGTAAAGCTTGAAATATTACAATACAAATGAATACCTCTATATTCTCCTGTTGGACCGTAGAAACTGTATGAGAGATGAATTCCATTGTCTAAGACAGCTGAGAGGGAGCCCTGTGTCACTCTTTTCACAGGCTGTACAGGCTCTGACACTGAAAAGGACAAACACACAGGCACACAAAGAGGGACGTTCATCAGCACGTACGTTTCATCATTACAATGTACTGAAAGTACTTGAGTGTTGATTTAGCAGCACAATTGTCTACTGTTCATGGTTTATTCAGGACAAACATGTTCAGTTTAGGATGATGTGTTTTCCAGCTGAGACTTTTTAAATATATTTTTTTGTTTTTTAACAAAAGTTGCAGGAAATAGAGATATTTGAGTAAATCACCTCAAATGTGTACTCAAATACAGTACTTCAGTAAATGTACTTTGTTAGATTACACCTTACACCACTGGATCAAAATAATTTTAAATGTCCAAACAGGCCTACTGTCTGGAGTAGGAATACCATCTGTACCTTTTCCGCCATTGGTTTCTTTGTCTTGGGGCTGAGGGAGAGGTTTCACTAGATCAAAAACAACTTGGTTGATGTGTGTGCAGAAATAATGTCCATCCTTCTTCACAGCCAGTTTCATTAGGGTGGAACCTGGAGTGAAAACAGAATAAAACACATGTGGACAATGCACTTATCCAGCAAGGAATAGCTGAGTAGCACTTTGCTTTTCGCAAAACCCCTAACAATGTCAATATTTTTTAAATTACGCAGCACTGCAAAGTAATGTTGTTGGAGCTTCCTCTACAACCTCGACTTTTGTAAATACCTTCAACATAGCTGATATTCTCCACGCTGATGTGTCCTCCATCTGAAGGGAAAAGGTTCTGGAGACGACCTGCAACACGGATCAACTTTCCATCCATGTTATAGCCTGTGAAATCCTACACAATCACACTCAAACACGTTACCCGAACTATTTTGTAACATCTCTCTGTAATGAGATGTGCACGCTGGCCACTATATATGTTTTGCTTAATGGTTTACTGAGTGTGCCCTCACTTTGAAAGGCTCCGCTGACGTATGCAGTTCTTTGTTTTCCTCCCAAGGGGGCGCTGTGGTGTTATTGGACTCTATGTTAGTTCTGGCTGAGCTTCCTGCTCTGCTCTTCTTAGCAGTGGGCAACGTTTTACTTTTCTTGTTGTCAGTCGACATAGCCTCCTCTTTTTGCTGTTGGCCTTTCGGTGCATTCTCCTTCTTTGATTTCTTGTTCATTTCTTCCTCCTTCAGCTGCTCCTGCTCTATCTTCCAGGCCTGTATCATAACACACATTTTAATATACAAAGAATGCAGTTATTTCCATACCATTGCTGACCTTTTCAGCTGGGATCAGCTCCAGCCATCCACGTCCCTCTTAGAATAAGCAGTTAAACAAAATAGATGGAGGAATACATTTTGTGGTTTGTTTAAAAAATGCTTGGGTATGAGATTCTGTAACTATCTGATGATAAAAATCTCCCCAGATTTAAATCTTAACTTTAAAGCTAATGTGGGATATTGCACCACATCTCCCAGAATGATTCATCAATTATTTTAAATCAAGCAGGCTGGACGACTGTTAAGCTATCCTATTTTGTCTATCTAAAAAAGTTACAACATTGATCAAAAAAGACAGTACAGAGCCGACTGTTATAGTGAATGTGTTTCTGTATACCAACTTTTAGAGAGCCTGTTCGGATGACCGGGTCCAGTGTGTCCTCCCTCTCAGCAGAATCTGGCAACTTTTCATCTGGTCCAGGAAGAAAACCATCCGTATATTAGTATGGTGGTAATGCATAGTTACCAAAGCTTTATGTTGACAAGCTTCGGTACCTCTCAGATCCTGAGCAGGTCTGACATTTCTGAGTTGCATTGTCTCTCTCTTTAATTCTTCCTCTTTTGTCCAATCGGAAATGCTTTCTGCCACATGCTCCCGGTACTTCCTATCAGAAGGTAACAATGATATTTAAATACATACAACACTCCACATATGATCAATTTTCTAAATGTTGTTCCTGTATAATCTAATGTTAAGGGAATTTATTTGTGTTCTTCCTCACGTAAAAAGAACAAAAAAATAATTATGAATATTCCAATAACAACCAAACACTGTGTGAAAATGTGACCTTGCATTCTGACCTGAACTTGACATCAGTGTGAAGGGCTACATCCCAGAACTCCTTGCACTGACGATAAGGGCTCATTGGATTGTGACAGAAAATGTACAGGATGTTGTTATGACTTCCTCTGAAGGTGTCCAAGCAGCAGTAATCCTCGGAGGCTAACTGCAGTACCTACACATTTAGAAAAAGTGAATATGAAGGGTTTCAATCCAACAATTAGGGTTTTTAGCTGAAATATGAATGTCATGGTACGATTGAAGTGTTCACCTGTTGGAAGATGGAAGCACTGTGGTGTTCAGCATAGTGCCAGTCCTTCAGAGACCTCAGTCTACAACTCTGAATATCACATAAATCCAGCTGGCAACAGACCCTTCTAATCTTCTAGGGATGGATCAGGCAAAAAATCAGAACAATAGTCACTTTTTTGTATTATAACATTTAAAAAAGAGAAGACTTGGATTTGCTTACAACAAAATGTTATGGTCATTGTTTATAAAGAAAAAAAGAATTAAGGAGCCGGGAGTGGGGGGTAATATTCAGCAAAAATTATTCCCAAGATAAAAGTCGTACATTTTCAATAAATAAGTATCAACTTTATGATTAAATAGTTTGTTATTTTTCAAAAAGTCACATTTACGAGAAAATTAATTCTGTCCAGCCATCCATTTTCCACCGCTTATACGGAGTCGGGATGCGGGGGAAGCAGTTCCAGCAGAGAGCCCTAAACGTCCCTTTCCCTGGCCACATTAACCAACTGACTGGGGGTTTCCAAGGCGCTCCCAGACTAGCATGGAGATATAATCCCTCCACCTGGTCCTGGGTCTGACCCTCAGTCTCTTCCCAGCTGGAAGTGCCTGGAACACCTCCCTAGGGAAAAGGCCAAGTGGCATCCTTATTAGGTGCCTAAATGACCTCTACTGGCTCCTTTCTACGCGAGGGAGCAGCAGCTGTACTCTGAGTCGCTCCAGGATGACTGAACTTCTCCCCTTATCACTAAGGCGGATGCTAGCCACCCTCCGGAGAAAACCCATTTTGGCTGCTAGTATTTGCGATCTCGTTATTTTGGTCATGACCCATCTTTCATGTACATAGGTGAGGATTGGTACAGCGAGCGTTGCCTTCTGGCTCAGTGCTCTCTTAGTCACCATGGTACAGACCATCCAATGAGTTCAATGACTGCTGAAGGTTTCAGACCGATGACGCCAACAGAACCACGTCATCTGCAAAAAGGCAGAGATGCAATCCCTAGCCCAACAAACTGCAGCCCCTCTCCTTCATGACTACAACTTGAGACCCTGTCCATGAATATCACAAGCAGGATTGGTGACGAAGCATATCTCTGGTGAGGGCCAACCCTCACTGGAAACAAGTCCAACAAAATCCACAAAAAACACGTAGACGAGATAGGCATACTCCCAGGCTCTTTTTAGGAGTAAAAAGCTGGTCCGTACTTCCACGACCAGGACGGAATCTTCATTGTTCCTCCTCAATCTGAGGTCCGTCTATCGGCCAGACCATCCTTTCCAGACCCTTAGAGTTAACTTTCCAAGGGAGACCGAGAAGTGTGATGCCTCTATAGTTGGTACACACCCTCTGATCCCCTAATTTGAACAGGGGAACCACCACCCCGGTCGTCCACTCCTTTGGTACTGCCCCCGACTTCCGCGCAATGCTGAGACTTGTCAACCATGACAGTCCCTCAACACCCAGAGCCTTCAAGCATTTCTAGATGGGTCTCCTCCACCCATGGGGCTTTGCCAGTGTGGAGTTGTTTAACTACCTCAGTGACCTCCTCCAGAGAGATTGATGTTGATCACCCATCATCCTCTGGCTCTGCCTCTACTATAGAGGGCAGGTTGGTTCAAGAGTTCCCCGAAGTTTTTCCTCAACCAACATAACACCCTAACTGTAGACTCAGCTCCCTCCCCTGTCATTAGTCTACTGCCTCCGCAACATTAAAACCTGGATGTCTACTAACCTTCTCCAACAGCAATTTGTGCAGTTTGTGAAAAAAAAAAGCACTACTCCGGGAGGTTGGAGATCTCCTTCTAGTTGTTGATGAATGCACCAACCATCCTTCCCCTGAAGCCCACAACATTGGTGTTATTCTGAGACAAATTTGCCTTGGGAGACCCTACCAGGAACAGTATGTTTCTGACAACACAGCCCCCAGGGGCACACACACCTCTCCACTAAGATAAGGTGATGGTTCCCGGAGAATTCTGTGTTGTTTTGTCATTCTTACTGCACAAAAGCTATAACCTCACCAAATAACTATATTGTGATACAGGAGAGCATAGTATCATTTGATTAGATCAATCAATGCAGGCATAATTCCTATTTTTCACATGATTTCTTCAATGAATATTACTCCCCTCTCCTAGCTCCCAATTTATTTATTTTATTTTAAACTTACAGTACAGAACATATAGAAAAATACCTCGGTGTTACCAGGATTTTCCGTGAGAAAGGTGAAACCTAAAGTTAAAATTTTGAATGAGATATAGTGTGTTTCAGAGTCTTGAATACAATTGTAAACTAAAATCACATCATCACAGTAATTGAATTACCTTTAGTCCGTAGGGTATTAATCTGCTGTTTAGAGTAGGATAGTGGGTTGTCCCAGGGGATTGATGTAGTTATCTGTTCCTGTGCTGGTCTCAGTGTTCCCAGTTGTCCAGGTGGCCTAAGTAGTACACCTTTACTGTCCAATCTGGTCAGTGGCATACTCTCAAACACACTCCGATGAACCAAACGCTCCACCTCCAGCCATGAAACAACATCTGTGGGATAACTTGTTAATATCCCTTTGAAGCTGATCAATCAATATCTTTTTTCAGAAGAAACAAAGACTGACAAACAGATTATAATAATTCCTTAAACTGTTTCTGACCATCTGTGCAGTAATGTTGTAGCTGCTGTTTGATGGCCATCCAGGAGGAGTTGCTGTTTCTCTGCTGAGCAACAGAGTGGATCAGCTGCCACACTGGAGAATGCCGCATCATTGATATCTCCACCTCTGCTGGATCGAAACCCTGAACCACCTAAGAGCCACATATAAACACATTAATACAAATACATTCAGAATAGCAACAAGATTACTCAAACTATCCAGTCTGCTTTGAACAAAAATTGCTTTTTCCACGTGAACTAATAAAATAATCAGTTATACGAACCATTTACATTTATTTTTAAAAGAATCTACTTGCATTGATATGCGTCAAACGCAGTGCCCTCTCATCATGGTGTCTGATAACCAGAGGATGCGCAAACTTCTGCTTTTCCTCTTCTCCAAACTTCTCCTCTAGCCTCTGGCACAAAAGAGTTTAAAGCAGAGACAAATGAGGGAATAATTCATTTATGTGAAGAGTGTGTCAAAGCATGCTGGAGTCCCAGAGCTATGGCCGCACCCTCTGCCAGCCTTTCACGAAACAAAGCTTCCCAAAACCTTTCAGCGATTCATGCCGGATATGTACAGCGTAGGGCACTGAAGAACGATATGTCATATTTATTATCCTACACAAACATTATATTCAGGGGTGCACATAACTTGTTTGCCCTGGTTCTCAAAGGAGCACCTGGAGATGTTGCTTGGTGCTCATCCTTAAAATGAAATAAACCGTAACTTTTGAGGGGGTCTTTATTTGCCAGACACACGGCACTGAACACACATGCAGAGGTGAACACAGAACACACATGCAGAGGTGAACACAAGACAACATTAGCACAACCAGTAATCCTACAAGCTGTCATCACTACCCTCCTGACTGTTCTCCTCACTGTCTTCCTCTCTGTCAGACATGGTAGCTGATGATGTAGGCCTACTACTTTCTCTCTGGTTGAGTCTGCGATTAGCTGCTTGCATCCACAAGTCAACAGCTGGGTTTGGGTCGAAAGTCTCTGTTGTCATCTTAGACAAGTGGATGTAATCAAATAAGTATGTGAACATAACCAATAACCTACCATAGCCAATAACAAATGAATGTAACTTATTTTATTTGTGTTGTGGTATCTTATTTTACCGTAATATTTATTTATGCATTTTTTTTTATCTCTCCAATTTTAAAGTATATTTTTGGTTACTGTCCTATAGTATACATTGGAATGATTTAAAACCTGTTTATCCCAATAATTATAAAGGTGATAAATTGTGACCAAACCGATTGAACTTAGACTAAAGTGAACTATCTAAACACTCAAAGAGTCCTTTACCTCACTGAGCTGTAATTATCAGTCTGACTGGAGAGGACTCTCCCTCCACATTATTGTAGAAACATCTTCTTCTTATATCCGTTAGAGCAGCTAGCACCAGATTCTAATAACAACAGCGCCGGTACCGGGTGGTGCGCCCTTCTCTCTCTCCCTCACTCGCATTTTGGCTGTGAGCGCCAGATAAGCCAACACAAATGCGGCTGATACATGCTACATGCAACACACACACACACACACACACACACACACACACACACACACACACACACACACACACACACACACACACACACACACACACACACACACACACACACACACACACACACACACACACACACACACACACACACACACACACACACACACACACACACACACACACACACACACACACACACACACACACACACACACACACACACACCACACACACACACACACACACACACACACACACACACACACACACACACACACACACACACACACACACACACACACACACACACACACACACACACACACACACACACACACACACACACACACACACACACACACCTCCTGCTTTGTTTGGACCAGCGGGAGATTCGGGTACACAACCTGTAAGTATTCATTGTTGTTTGTGTATTTATGATGTTTAAAACAAACAAGCTATCTACCACTGATAGCTGTTTAAATGGGTTAACGTTTTTCGGACTACGTTGGGATCGCGGAGAAATGCTCTCCGCAGACCCATGCTCACAGCGTTATAAACAGGGCTGCACATAACTGGTGCGCAGGTGCGCATGCCAAAAAAAGAGCACCGGGTCATTTGAAAAAAGGTGCATTTGCGTACCAAAATTGAGGGAGAGAGAGAAGAGAAAAGAGAGGAGAGAGGAGAGAGGAGAGAGAAAGATATTTGCGAGTTGCATATGAACTCAGGGCCGGCCCGTAGCGCTGGCTAGATGTTCGCCTCGGGCGCCAGATCTGGGGAGGCGCTGCGCTGGCAGTTCTGGGAGGGAAAAAAACATTTTGACCGTTGGGGCTCATCCTAATTTTCGGCCTTGATGTAACAATATTCATAATTAAGTAAATGTAACACCCTTTTCACCCCGGTTACACGTTTCATTTGCCCTGTACGATGGGCGCTGTAAGTGATGAAAATGGGGGATGTTGGCTTATCTGGCAACCGCAGCTCACAGCCAAAGTGCGAGTGAGCGAGGGAGAGAGAGAAGGGCGCACCGCCCGGTGTTGTTATTAGAATCTGGTGCTAGCTGCTCTAACGGATATAAGAAGAAGATGTGTCTACAATAATGTGGAGGGAGAGTCCTCTCCAGTCAGACTGAGAGGCTGATACTAAAGCTCAGTGAGGTAAAGGACTCTGAGTGTTTAGATAGTTCACTTTAGTCTAAGTTCAAACAGTTTGGTCACAATTTATGTAAACACATATTTCCAAGGCACTCCTTTATAATTATTGGGATAAACAGGTTTTAAATAATTCCAATGCTTACAGTAACCAAAAATATCCTTTAAAACTGGAGAGATACAACAAAAACAATGCATTTAAATAAGATATGAATGAACAACACAAATAAAATAAGTTACATTCATTTGTTATTGGCTATGGTAGGTTATTGGTTATGTTCACATACTTATTTGATTACATCCACTTGTCTAAGATGACAACAGAGACTTTCGACCCAAACCCAGCTGTTGACTTGTGGATGCAAGCAGCTAATCGCAGACTCAACCAGAGAGAAAGTAGTAGGCCTACATCATCAGCTACCATGTCTGACAGAGAGGAAGACAGTGAGGAGAACAGTCAGGAGGGTAGTGATGACAGCTTGTAGGATTACTGGTCGTGCTAATGTTGTCTTGTGTTCACCTCTGCATGTGTGTTCTGTGTTCACCTCTGCATGTGTGTTCTGTGTTCACCTCTGCATGTGTGTTCAGCGCGTGTGTCTGGCAAATAAAGTCAAGACCCCCTCAAAAGTTACAGTTTATTTCATTTTAAGGATGAGCACCAAGCAACATCTCCAGGTGCTCCTTTGAGAACCAGGGCAAAAAAGTGATGTGCACCCCTGGTTATAAACCTTTTTCTTACTCAATGTCAAGCCACACTTATTGTTTTTACTTCGGCTGTGAGTGTTTGTGTGTGCTCAAGATGAATTTCGCTAGCTGTATCACCAAGCCTGTCTGCTCCTGCAGCAGCTCGCTGTGTGTGTGTGTATGTGTGTGTGCAAGCAGCAACGAGCCTGTCAGCTTCTCGACCAATCAGAGCACACTGGGCTCCATACCCGGCGCCAGAACAAATCTAAAGGGAGGGCATATGATTTTCATGGGAGGGCACACAAAACCGTCATGGCAGAATATATATCAAACAGCAAGGCCAACAACATTGCATAAAGACGCACACTTATCGCAAATACATACACAAATAAAGGGAAACATAGAAACCACTTTTGAAACATTGTGTGCGTGGCAGCACAAACCCTGGTAAATCACGAGCAAGGCACACTGGTTAAGGATGGCAGCTTCCTCATCGTTGCACTCGGAGAGAAATAGTAGAGACGGAGACGATGAACTGTTTAGCCCGCCTTTGGCATGGTTTATTTTCCTATGCACTGCAGGTGCATCCTTTCACTCAGCCGAGCTAACTTAGAACATTATTTTGTCCAACTCTGCATCTTTGTGCAGCGTATACTCAAACAGCGATAGGAAGAGCCCACTGCCTGACTCGGACATGCTGTGAAGTGAATCGTGGTCACCTCTGAGAGGGAGTTGGTTGACAGCTAAAAAAGCTATAATATCAACGACAGCTGACACGTAATAACGGTTCCGTGCCAGCTGATCTGCACCAAAGTACTAATTTCCTTATTTGTTTCCTCGCGTATCTGTCTCTCTCTCCACAAACTCTCACATGAAATGTGTTCTTTTGATGCGGCATGTCTTATTAGTCCAGTCTGTAATGCGTGTTTCCAGTCGCAAAAACCTTTGACAGTGAAAGCCGCATCAGATGAAGACGTATTTAAAATTGTCTACAAACAAAAGGCTGCGTCTGCTTTTAACGAATATTCAAGCCATGGTCTGTTGTGTGCTTCTTTCCTGAAAACAATCTTCCTGGATAACGATCCAGTTTCATCTGGTTGGGTTTATTAACCCCAAGATCATCTGGGGCTGTTGGTCTTTGAGCGGTTGCTGGCCCAATAGTACCTAGGTAGCAAGGTAGCGTCTGTAGTGGAGGCACCGGCACGGAGGAGGAGGAGGATGCTGGCGGGTGTGGTTCAGGGTTTGGCAACGCAGGTGGTGATGGTAGGGGCACAAGGAGCTGTGCCTCGGAGGACAGCGTTGGTGGCGGCCGCCTTGATGAGTCAAGGATTGGACTCGCTAACTGAGAAATGGGAGTCTACAGAATGCACAATAAACAAATCTAGAATAGGCGGCAGAGTGTGATGCTGTGATTGGTCTAAATGTGGACGAATCACAAATCACAACAAAGACATGAATTAATTTGACCTAGCCTGCAATTTTTTTTTTTATAGTTACTATCTGACATCACATACATCGTAGCATAACAGTTCACAGTTTTTTTTTTTTTAATGTTATAAATAATAAAAAAACGAGTTTATTTGGGGAGGGTAGGAATGTCAATGTCGATACCGGGGGAAAAACGCGTCATCTGAGGAAACAGTGTCTGAGGGCATCTTAATATTTAATAAACTATGAATGTTTTATCTCCATGTAACGGGAAGAAACTCATCTAACTGATCTTTTTTTCTTTCTTTTTTTTTTAAACCCACAATGCTAACGCTGAGCCTCTGAATTAGCAACGAGCGAAAAATGCTAACAGATTACTGCACAGAAACTCACTCATAAAACCCTTATTATTTATCTTTTCTGCACATCCAACCCATCAATTCGCATCGTGAGATGACACAGAATCGATGGGTACATACATTATCACTCTATGATAATAACAAGAACAGACATCAAAACATGTGGCGCTAGGTAGCTAAAACCGGCAACATGGCCTACCTTGGTCGTTGTCTGGTCAAAACTGGTCTTCAATGGCATTAAAACGATAACAATTCAGCTGAAGTTAATCCGTAGGTTA